CAAAAAATACGGGCACCTTGGTTCCTCCTCCGGGTGATGATAAAGTTATAGGAGGAATGTGGCTTTTGGGTCGGAAGAAGAATGAATTCGGTGAACTACTTCGATTCAAGGCTAGGTGGGTGTGCTTTGGCAATCACCAAGTACACATGCTACATTATTTCAACACATATGCGTCCGTGGCAAGGAATGAATTGTTCAAACTATTACTTACGGTGGCGGTAAACCGATCGTGGTATGTTTTCCAATTCGACGTGGAAACAGCGTTTTTGTATGGGGAAATAGACGCTCCGGTCTATGTGTCACAAGTGGAGGGGTTTGAAGAATCTGGCAAGGAGGACTGGGTGTGGAGGTTGAATAAATCATTATATGGTACGAAACAGGCTCCTCGTCAATGGCGCAAACATTTGGTCGGTACTCTTACCTCGCTCGGGTTGGAATCTTCGCCGCTGGATGAGTCGCTTTTCTACGATAAGGATCGGTCGTTGTTTCTACATATGCATGTGGATGATGGACTTGTGGTAGGCAAAGATTGGGACTCAATTGTGAAATTGTTGGATGACATTCGTAAGGTTTACACTATCAAGGTCAAGGAGAAACCGTCGCAACACCTTGGTTATACCCTTGACTGGAAGGAGGATGGATCTGTTCATGTGAATCAAGCGGATTTTGTGCAAAAGATTTTATACGATTTCAACATGCACGATTCGAATCCAGTCAGAGCGCCGGCACCAATGAATTTACATAAAATAGTTGCGACTGATGCCTCTCTGTTTCATCAAAAGTTGTACCAGAAGGCTGTTGGAATGTTGAACTATCTAGCTTTACACACTCGACCCGACATAACTTTTGCTACCAACCTTCTGGCTCAGTTCACGAGTCAACCCAACGAATCTCACTGGTCAGCGGTAAAACATCTGTTAAGGTATCTTCGTGGCACCTCAACAATGGGTATTCACTACACTCAGACTTCAGATCCGGAAGAAGGTCTTTGTGGATGGGCTGATGCAGACTATGCAACATCTCCGGTATTCAAGAACTCAACCTCAGGATATGTGATTACAATGTACGGGAACCCAATATGTTGGTCCACCAAGAAGCAACCAATAGTGGCTCAGTCAACTACGGAAGCGGAATTCGTGGCGATTAATCGATGTGCTAAGCAATTACGATGGCTCACAAATTTGATCCTTAATCTTCATATAAAAATCAAGACCCCACTATTGAAGAATGATAACTCTGGAGCGGTGACTATTAGTAAGGAAGCAAAGTTGAATGAAAACACGAAGCACATTGAGGTTCGATTTCAATATGTGTTGCAGTTGGTAGTGAACAAGCAGGTTATTATGATACAGGTGTCTACTCATGACATGATTGCCAATGGTTTGACCAAACCCTTAGGATTTATCAAGCTTGAAGGATCTCGAGAGCAATTACACCTAACTAACGCAGAACCAAGGAGGAGTGTCAACTGAGTGGTTCTGGCTGCGTATGCGAACGATGCATAGACCCACATCGTTACCCTATATTCAATATGAAAAGTTTGAACTCAAAACCAACTTCAATCTTGCCCCCTTGACAAGCGAAGGGCCGAACCAGAAACTATCTTCATCCCAATTCACTATCCATTTTTCAGTCCCTTAATCACCTATTGATACACACCCGAACTGCAAATTCTTGAACCGCCTAACCACTCTCTCAAGACCAACGGAACTCAGGAGGAGCTCAGTCACAACACAAGTGGAGGTACACTTGGTCCCTTTTTCCTTTTCTTCTCTATATCCTAACTCAATTGTTTCAGATCATTAATCTCATTTCATTTCTTCAGGCTTGTTGTTGTTTCAATTTCTCCTAATAACCGTTTCGTGCGTCTAAGTGTTGAGTCGTAGTCAGGACAAGAATATCTGAAGGTACTTTAAGAATTCGTTTCTCTCTTCTCATCATTTTCATTTTGTTCTAATCTTTTTCCATCTTATTTGTTCTAAGTGCTTTACTACTATTAGCTTTTGGATATTAGTTGCAATAAAGTACTTCATCTCAAATTTCTACAACAAGGATGATAGTAAACAGCTTATTAATATGGTCATTGCAAGTGAACGGGGCAAGACATTAGAAGCAGAAGCATGACAGGAAAAATTTCAAGATAAAGAGCATAGAGCTGAATAAGTGGGCTAGATAAGTGCAAATGAATGTGACTGCAAGCAGAATTGACAGGGCAAGATGGACAAGAAATGCTATTGGTCCCAATGTCAGAATTAAGATACAGATCAGGATTTGGGAAAGCGGTGGACCAATTCCATAGATCCTCCAGAATGCACTAGCAATATTTTGATGTCTTGATGATGACTTATCTCTTCTAACAAGGTTGTATCCAACCTGGGCTGTTGAGCCGATTATCAATCCGCCAATGCTATTATCAGTGGTTTGTTTTTGGTGTGTATTGGAGGCAGCTGGCCACCTGGTTGTGACTGTATAGAAATGGAGGACGCTGTGGCAAGGGCCTATGACAACATCATGGCTTTGAGAGGCAAAAAATAAAATAAAAGTCCAAACTTAAATAGTGAAAATGGAGGACTTCCTGTTGCCATTTAGAGTGCTTTTTAAGCCCTCCTCAGTCCTAAATTAACACCACAATCATAACTCCAACCAGCTCACATGAGAACTATCTAGGGGTTATAAATTGAATTCTGGGAGGGTTGTAAACGGCAACGGGAATTCATCCAATCCTTGATTTTCAAGTGCAGATCCTGAAAATCCGTCCAAGCATTTTCAAAACACAATATATAAAGGGCCTTAGTTAAACAACTCCCAGAAATTGGAGTTCTGACTCCCAAATTTCTGGGACTTTGAGAGGACTGTCTGCGGATGGTCCTCAGGACTTCCAACCCAAAATTGGGAGTTCGAACTCCAAAACCTTCAAAAGTTTTGGGAGTTATTCCCCTAACAAAAAAAAATAAAAATGGGTCTTAGTCAACCAACTCCCAAAAATTGGAGTTCCAACTCCCAATTTTTTGGGACGTTGCGAGGACCACCTGTCAACAGGGGCCAGGACTTCCTGACCCCCTGTTTTGTTGGAGTTAGACCTCCAAAAGGTCCAACTTGCTTAGAAGTTGGACCTGTGAAATAAATAATAAAAAAAGAAGAGGAAATTTGATTCCCCCCGGGGGTTCTTGGGAGTGGATACTCTTGACACCCCAGGGGAGTTGGGAGTCGGCTGGCGCCGGAAAGCCCTCAGCGTCCAAGAGGAATCCCTTTTGGCCTGCTGAGAGCTGTATACTCTCAGTAGCCGGGGGAGATTCCTCCCTGCCGCTGATCACTCTTGGTCAATGAGAGGTGTACACTCTAATTGGGCCAAGAGGCGTACACTCTGCGACCAAAAGGAATTCCCCTTGGCCTGCTGAGATTTGTACACTCTGAGAGTGTACAGCTCTCAGCAACCAAGAGGAATCCCTCTCAGCCCGCTGTGAGTTGTACAGCTCTCAGCAACCGAGAGGGATTCTCAGCCCGGAGCTGTACACTTTCAGCTTCCGGGAGGAATCATACACCTCTCAGCGGGTCGAGAGGGATTCCTCTTGGCTGCTAAGAGTGTACAGCTCTCAGAAATTGAGGCGGCTCTCTTGGTTTCCAATAGTGTATGTTCCTCTTGGCCATCAAGAGTGTACACTCTCAACAGCCAAGAGGAATCCTCCCGGCTGTCAAGAGTGTACAGTGGGTAGACAGAGAAAAGTGGCTGCTTATATTGGATTCCAGAGCTCCAAAACACAAACTTGAAGTCATGAGACTAGGTCAGGTGGTGCATAGTAGTTCCTAGAAAATGAATATGAAAAAATAAAGTTTCAAAATTTGTGGAAAATAAAAAATAAAACTGCATTTTTCCAAAAGCTTTGTTATTGATTTTGGTGGAGTGGGAGTGCTGAGAGAAAGAAAGCATGGAACATGGGAAGAATGATTATGAATGACAAAATTGAAACCAAAAAAGGTTTGGCCAGGTTGGTTGTCCAGATTGGAGCCAAAACAGTAAATTCTAGTGCTTTACTGCAATGCGGGCTGGTAAACGCCCCACTCAACAGCTGTTTGAAGCCATCTGGAAACCAATTTTTCGGGGAATGATAACCACACTCCACCCCCCTTTGCACACACACTCCAACACTCCCTTCTCTGAAGGGAGTGTGGGACCGCACTCCAATCAAAATTGGAGTGCGGGTCCACACTCCAACAATCTGCAGGGGCAGTCCCCCAGCAGGTTGGAGTGCAGACCTGCACTCCAATTTTGATTGGAGTGTGGGCCCACACTCCCCTTCTGAGGGGAGTGTGGGAGTTTGTATATGTACTTTTATATACATACTGGGCTATCCCATAGGACCCAGTCCTGGGTCCTATGGGATAGCCCAGGGGCTTGAGGCCGTTGAAAATAAAAAACAAAAAAGTCTTTAGGGATGGGAGGAACCCCTCCCAGCCCGCAAATGGCTATGGAGTCTTGAGGCCGGGAGGGTTCCTCCCGGCAAACCGGTTTTCAAACCAGCTCGTCGGAAGGCATTCCTTCCGACAAGCTGGGCTGTGTACCACCTCGTCGGGAGGGGTTCCTCCCGGCGAGACAGCTTTTAAGCCAGCTCGTCGGAAGGAATCCCTTCCGACGAGCTGGTCTGTGTACCACCTTGTCGGGAGGGGTTCCTCCCGGCGAGCTGGGTTTTAAACCAGCTTGTCGGAAGGAATCCCTTCCGAAGAGCTGGTCTGTGTACTGCCTCATCGGGAGGGGTTCCTCCCGGCGAGCTGGCTTTCAAACCAGCTCGTCGGGAGGAACCCCTCCCAACGAGAAGGTGTACAGGACTCAAGACTGGGAGGAACCCTCCCGGCGTTGAGCATGGGCCAAGCAACGCGGCAACCTCAAGAAAATCAGTCCGGAAACCCTGAATTGGTTGGTTGAGCTCACTTGGATGCTTGGCTAGCTCGTTGACTAACCGACTATTTCCATCATCATCCAGGTTGAAGGACAGTGACGTCACATGGCTCTACGGCCCTCTCCATACAGCGGTGGACCAGGTGCCCCTGCAAAAATCTCATCAATTCAAGACCGCTTCAATCTTGACGGTCAGCCCCAGTCAACACCTCCTTCCCAGCCCCCTTCAACTGTCGACTCTCGACCCGGCTCGTCTGCGTCCACACAGTCTTCCAAGGCACCTGGCAAGCCAATTCTCAAGCATCGTAGTCTTTCCGAGATACTCAGGGTAGGTTTATCTCAAAGCGGAGAGTCTGCTTCGGAAGATGGAAGCGAAGATGGCAAAGCTCGGCCTGATCAGCCCAAACGAGCCCAGGTATCTATTGCCCACGCATCTTCTGATTCAACCCTGGTCAAGCTAGGCAATGCCGGTGTTGCTCGAGGATCTTCTCACACCATCATCAATGGCTACGATAGCTCAGATCTAGCGACCAGCGGTGACGATAGCGACGTTGCCTGTCGGACTTCTGCCATGCGTGGACATTCCTCTCACGCTAGCCGGGAGGAACCCCTCCCGACAAGGTGGTACACAGACCAGCTCGTCGGAAGGGATTCCTTCCGACGAGCTGGTTTAAAAACTAGCTCGCCGGGAGGAACCCTCCCGGACTCAAGACTCCATAGCCATTTGCGGGCTGGGAGGGGTTCCTCCCATCCCTAAAGAATTTTTTTTTTTTTTTCAACGGCCTCAAGCCCCTGGGCTATCCCATAGGACCCAGGACTGGGTCCTATGGGATAGCCCAGTATGTATATAAAAGTACATATACAAACTCCCACACTCCCCTCAGAAGGGGAGTGTGGGCCCACACTCCAATCAAAATTGGAGTGCAGGTCTGCACTCCAACCTGCTGGGGGACTGCCCCTGCAGATTGTTGGAGTGTGGACCCGCACTCCAATTTTGATTGGAGTGCAGTCCCACACTCCCTTCAGAGAAGGGAGTGTTGGAGTGTGTGTGCAAAGGGGGGTGGAGTGTGGTTATCATCCCCCAATTTTTCCAAAATTTTCATTTATAATCATTCTTCTAATATGCCAATCTTCCTTTCTCTCAGCACTCCCACTCCCCCAAAATGAATATCAAAGCTTCACAAACTTTGAAACTTTATTCAGAACATCAATACGATGAGCATCATGGCAACGTGGAATTTGGTGTGTGTGACGTCCCTTACAAGCCCAAGCATGAGTACGACAAGGAGTATCTTGCAACTGATAAACCTTTGGTTACCAAACCGAGACGTTAGACAACGTAGATAGACTAACGGCGAGAGCAGCGAACAAGCAAACCTTTTGGTTACCAAACCGAGACGTTAGACAACGTAGATAGACTAACGGCGAGAGCAGCGAACAAGCAAACCTAGAGTCGGAGCGAGTAGGCGAAAGGCGTGAGTGAGACTCAAAAGAAAGAAACTGAAAAATCGGATGAGAAAAGAGAACATGATGTTTACAACAAGTGAGAACTATATACATCCGATGAAAAACAAGATTAGGTTTCTAACTTTGATTGTCTCACTATCCTGTGCGCTGTTGCGCTCCGCAGTCGGGTGAAAATGAAACCCCTGGACTGTAAGTTCAACACCCCCCCTCATTTTCAACCCGTGAGGTTGATTCCTTCTATACAGTTGAGATGCTTGATTTGGCAGAGTGATTTGGTGAGGAAGTCTGATAGGTTAGAATTGGTAGAAATGTATTGAGGAGCAAATTCTTTTTCGGTGACTTTCTCGCGAACCCAATGTAGATGCACTCGAAAGTGCTTGGTTCTGTCGTGAAACACTGAATTTTTAGCTAGTGCGATAGCTGCCTGGTTGTCGCACATGATTGGAATAGGACCGTTGTGTTTGATATCGAGTGTTGCAAGTAGTCTTCTGATCCATACGGCTTCACGCCCTCCTTCATACAGTGCTGTATATTCGGCTTCAGTCGTTGAAGAAGAAACTGAGGGGTTTTTCTTGGCTTTCCAGGAGATGACACTGTTGCCCAACATAACAAGATAGCCGAAGTAGGAATAGGACTTAAGCTTGTCGTTGGCATAGTCAGCGTCAGTGAAAATCTTGAGGGGAGTAATGGTTGACCCAAGTGTGATTCCTCTTGATTGCGTACCACACAAGTACCTTAGCAAGTGTACACATGCGGTCCAGTGTTGAGTGCCAGGAGACTCAAGGAATTGAGAAAGCTGCGACATAGCAAAGGAGATGTCCGGACGAGTGGAAACCGCAAGATAATTGAGCAGTCCTATGGCTCTTTGATAGTTGATTCCCAATTTGGCAAAGTCGGCTAGTTCGTTAGGAGTAGCTGGAACCAGCCTTGTTCCTGGTACAAACAGAGTTTCAACTGTTCGGCAGTTCTACATTCCGTATGTAGCGAGGATCTTCTTGGTATAGATGTCTTGAGTAACGCGAATACCCGAGTTGAGTGGCTCAATTTTCATTCCCAGCAAATGTTTGAGAGGTCCAAGGTCCTCCATCAAGTACTTCGCTGTCACTAATTTCTTGAATCGATCCACATCTTGACTGACAATTACCATGTCATCGACATACACGTGGACCCAACATTTCCAGTCCATATTGTTTGAAACAAACAGACAAGGATCCGCTAGTGATGGCGCAAAATTGATAGACTTGAAGAACTCCGACAGCTCATGGTGCCATACCCTCGGTGCTTGCTTAAGCCCGTAGATCGACTTCAAGAGACGCAAGCATTTGCCTTTGGGAAGATTGAGACCGGCGGGTGCCCGTAGGTAAATCGTCTCTTCAAGATTGCCGTTCAGAAAGGCATTCTTCACATCCATTTGGTGAATCTTGAGATTATTGGAGACACCCATGGAGAGAAGAGCCCTCAGAGCTGTGGGTCGGCCTGTTGGAGCGTACGTTTCCGCGTAGTTTAAACCTTCAACTTGAAAATTTCCCGCTGCACAGAGTCTAGCTTTGTATTTGGAGAGAACACCGTTTTCATCGAATTTTCTCCTGAATATCCAAACTGTGTTGAGAAGTTCAATGTCGGCCGGAATATCTACAACCTTCCAAACACCTAGTCGATCCATTGCGGATAATTCAGCATTGATAGCCTCTATCCAGCTGGCTGAATCGGGATCCTTGAGTGCTTGAGAGTAGGTTTTGGGCGCTTCGGATGTTTGATCGAAGATCGAAGAACTGAGCCCCTGCCAGAAAGCATTGGATGTTGAAGTCAAAGTCTTCGTCAGCTATAGCAACATGAGCACGCCTTTTGGTAGCGATGATGTTGCTAGTATCTATATCTGATGAGATGTCTTTAGGAGCCTTTTGGTTGACAGGTTGAAGAACCATGTCAAACCCGGGGCAATTGGGCGGCTGATGGTCTTGCTGACTGGGAACATTATTACTTGAAGCAGGATTTTGTTCAGATTCAGAATGGTCGTGAGGTCGAAGATTCCTTTCAATTGACAAATCGGAGCCACTAGAACTGATTTCCTCGATAGGTGCCTGATCAGAATTAGATGATTCTTCTTCTGATTCGAGATGCTCATGCAACAAGTCTTGAGGAGAAATAAGACCAGCTGGGTCGAACGTAGAGATTCCTGGATAAAGAGTCTCGCCGAAATCGACATCATGACTCAACTCTACACGTTCACCCTCTGTGAGAATGCGCCAGTTATGCATTCCCAGCTGGTACCCGATCATTACTCCCTTCTTAGCTGTGTCGGCAAATTTAGGCCCCCTCTTGGTTTCAGGAAGATTGATGTACGCCTGACAGCCGAACGGTCTCAGACGCTTATAGTCAAACGACCGATTGAACCAAAGTTCATACGCTGTTGACCATTTGTTCTTGCGAGTGGGAGTAATATTCTCCAGAAACACAGCTGCCTCCACCGCGTAACCCCAGAGAGAGTGAGGAAAGTTGGCTTGTTTGAGAAGAGTCCTTGCCTTCTCGGTTGTAGTTCGATTACCTCGTTCCGCAACTGGATTTTGCTGAGGGGTATAGGGTGCCGTAATGTGACTAGACACCCCTTTTGACTCAAGAAACTCCTTAAATTCGGTCGAATTGAATTCCCCACCACCGTCGGTGGTAATGTGTTTGATAGGGCGAGCATGAAGAGTTGAAACTAAGGAATAAAATTTCTCGAAGTAGTGGAAGGCTTCGGATTTCTTCTTTAGGAGATATACAAATTTGTATGATGAGAATTGGTCGGTTATTTTAAAGTAATATTCATAACCGTCAGATGTGGGAGGATTAATAGGGAGAGTGCCATAGTATGGAAGACGATGTGATTTGGAAAGAGAACAAATTTCGCAATTCAACTGAAAGTCCGGTAGATCAAACATCTTTCTTAACGATTCTTTGCTTGGGTGTCCCGCTCTCCTGTGAAGGTTTCCGATATCAGATTGAGTCTTTGACGATAGCTTGACAGAGGAAAAGGACTTGCCTTTGATGATGTCGAGTTTGATGACGAAGATATCTTGATCGGTGAGTTTCACTTTAAATAAGGTCTCGCCTTCATTGACTAGGTTTGCTGTGAGGGGACCGGTTCTAACACGATCGCATCCGCGACGAAATAGTCGACCTTCCGATATTAGATTTCCGACTAACTGCGGAACGTGAAGACATTCGAGCTTGAGGGGTTGGCCTGTTTCCGTTCGAACATACACATTGCCAATGCCGGGACACATAGCAGTTTTCCCGTCAGCAAGTTCAATCTTGCATTTCGAATCAGTGGAATAGGTCACGAAAGCATCACAATCCGCTATCATATGGTGAGAGGCGCCGCTGTCGAGATAGGCTGTGTCGGCCGATAATTTGACAGACAGAGCCCTTTTGACGACATGCCAGGCTACACTGGAAGTCGACGAGTCTTCATCCTCTTGAGCTTTCTTGGCAGCTTTCGCTCTAGATTTCGTGTGATGTTTCTCCATTCGCGCCTTCTGTTCGGGATAGAGTTGAAAACACCGTGATTCGGGGTGACTGGTGGCAGCTGGATTGTGTTGTCCATTGGAACATTCTTTGGACCCTGAGCTTGAAGATTGAGTAGTGGTCTTCAAGGCGGACTCTTCGGATTTAATTCGAACAGTTGAGTCGTCAAGTCTTCGATTTTCGAGCAAACTCTGAATTTTGTCCACGAGTAGGGGTCGATTCTGAATGAGAACCTCACAAGTGTGAATGAGGCTTTGAGGAATCTTCTCCAGAATGTTTTCACAGAAAAGATTTTCATGAATTTCAAAATCTTTAGGTATTCCGATTCTGAGGCCAACGGCGTTAATACGACTGATGTGAGCAGTGAGATCGGAAATGAAGGATTCGATATCGTTTCCTTTGAATTTGAGCGCTAAAAAGTAATTATAGACTTTTGATTGGTTTGCAATCGCCTTCGATTGATAGTGGTCCTCGAGTTTTAACCACATAGCTCTAGGGTCGTCTTTGGTGGTGTCGGACTTGAATTTTTGGTAGTTGGTAATTCCCATGTACTGTTGCAATACACCGGAGGCCTTCATCTTTCTGGTTTTGAATGATTTAAGCTCGGCAGGATCGGTGGGAGCGGTTTTGCTTGACGAAATGAATGAATACAAGTCGTGTTGCTTTGTATAACCTTCAACGAGCATACTCCACAAGTCCCAATTGAGATTGGACAGAGTGGGTATGCTTGGGTTTGAAGATTTATTGTTCATCGTAATCGTAGTTGTCTTGGTTGGTTTTTTAAAGCACCTCTTGGCTCATAACCTGATAAACTTTTGGTTACCAAACCAAGACGTTAGACAACGTAGATAGACTAACGGCGAGAGCAGCGAACAAGCAAACCTAGAGTCGGAGCGAGTAGGCGAAAGGCGTGAGTGAGACTCAAAAGAAAGAAACTGAAAAATCGGATGAGAAAAGAGAACACGATGTTTACAACAAGTGAGAACTATATACATCCGATGAAAAACAAGATTAGGTTTCTAACTTTGATTGTCTCACTATCCTGTGCGCTGTTGCGCTCCGCAGTCGGGTGAAAATGAAACCCCTGGACTGTAAGTTCAACAGCAACACCCCTGCCTTGTCTACTCAAACCAAGCGGGGTTAGGTCAGATATTTCCTTCCAAGTCTGTCAAGAGCAAGAAAGCAAGACAGACTCACCAATGAAGACCAGGAAATCCAAGGGGATTTGTGCAATACAACAGATGTAGTTAGCTTGTCGGATTGCAGATCGGGCCGGGTGAACCATTTGGGCAACTTTCCTAGTGAGTAGCAAGTGAAGTCGGATGTTGTCATATATTGTGGTTAACGGGTGAAGCACACCAGTCATAGCCTCAATGTGCACTTGAATTTCATCCAGGTACAAGGATGGCTTGTGCTCAAGGACATCAATGATGAACTGGCGCTCCTCCTCGTTGATTGCCAATGGCCGCCCACAATCCTGGTAGGTTGATTTTTTGCTTTTATTTTTTCAAATTCAATTTTTGGAACCTATTATGCAACACCTGACCAAGCCTCATGACTTCAAGTCTGTGTTTTAGAGCTCTGGAATCCAAAATAAGCAGCCACTTTTCACTGTCTACCTACTGTACATACACTCTTGATGGCCAAGAGAAACCCTCTTGGTTGTGGAGTGTGTACCCTCTCCACAGCCGAGAGGAATCCTCCCGGCCACCAAGAGGGTATACTCTCAATGGCCAAGAGGAATCATCCCGGCCGTCAGGAGGTTTTTTTTTTCTTCTTTTTTTTGCGGCCAACTCTCAACCCCCCATTGGTCTTTTAGAGTATTCACTCCCAAACCCCTGGGGGAATCAATTTTTGCTTATTTTTTATTATTTTTTTCACAGGTCCGACTTCTAAGGCAAGTAAAGCCTGTTGGAAGTCCGACACCCAAAAAAAAGGGGGGGAACAAATTAGGGGGTCAGGACGTCCTGGCCCCTGTTGACGGGAAGTCCTCACAACATCCCAAAAATTTGGGAGTTGGTTGACTAAGACCCTCAAAAAATAAAAAATAAATGAAAATGAAATAAACAGAACTCATGGCTGAGAGGGTGGAAATTCTGTCTCTTCCTTCTCATTCCTAAAAACCCATTCCTCATTTGTCAAAGTTTATACAAAATAATATACATGTTTTGACCATGTTGTGTCCCTGTCTGAGTGGCATATTTTCTTCTGTCTAGTGCTGAAATCCCTGTAGTCTTCCAACCTGAGTCTAGTCTTTATCAACAAGAATTTGCCCCTCTCAATGTTTCATACATGTTTCAAACTGTTATTCATTTTTATATTCAAATTCTTCTCAAACCACATGTTGAACATCTTGTATGTAGACTACTTGATGACTAGTCTCTGATAAGTAAAAGTATCATTGGTTCTCTACCTCATTTCTTGACACTTTGAGCCATTCCAACAAAAATCAAATTTTGTTGCCCAAATGTTTTTCTTCTCAAAACAATTCTGTGCGTCTTTGGTTAAAATTTCTTCAAAATCCCTCTCAGCTGCTGAGAGTATATGGTCTCAACAGCCAAGACGAATCCCTCTTGGCCACTGAGAGTTTATTGTATCAACGGCTGAGAGGAATCCCTCTCAGCCAGCAAGAGTTTTACACTCTCTGTGAACAAGGAGAATCCCTATCAGCTTTTGAGGGCATCTTCCCGGAGCCTACTCCCCCCCCCCCTGGGGTTTGTGGTGGATCGACTCCCAAAAAACCCACAGGGGGTTTTATTTTTTTCATTTTTTATAAGGGGAACAACTCCCAAAGACTTTGAAGTTTTGGAGGTCCAACTCACATGGACGTCCTGAGGAGCATCCACAGACAGTCCTCTTGACGTCCTAGAAATTTGAGAGTTGGAACTTCAATTTCTGGGAGTTGTTTAACTAAGACCGTATATATAAATATAAAGAAATCACTCCTGTGAGCACAATTAGAATTTCAACCAGTATGAACATATTCACAGAGATACACAGCAGCAAAAGAAGAATAAGAAGAAGAAGAGGCTGTCTGCTCATGAAGGAGCACATAGTGAGATGTGCTACATATAAGAGTGGAGAAACCCAGCCTCTGGGTTACCATCTCACTCTCCAGACTCAGCTAAAGTATATACATAGCTGGCATGTGGGGGTCTGGTCTGAGATATTCATCTTTGATCTCAGACCACATCAAGTATTCAGAAACACCTAAATCATCGTTTTCAGGGATTGAGATTATCAGACTTGATTTACAATTCAAAAAAGGATGCTCTCTGATTTCCAGGATGTCTGCAATTTGGCCAGACTGACTGGGTCTCCCCTTCCCTTATGTTTGTGGGTTCTGTTCCATCTGTCTGCCAGGGGCCCAGGCAGGGGCTTTCAAGTTTTATATGTGTACAGTCTATCCTGTCGAAGGGTATGATACAACTTGGCAGAGGAATTTGTGCATGCCTTCAAATTTTCAATGGCCTTAGAAACAGAAAGTTTGTGGCAAGATTGAGATTCTGGAGACCCCATTCTCTAGAGTATTATATAGGTTATGACAGCAATGGGCCGCTACGCTATACTACGCTAAACGGCCCACTAACTTTAGTGTAGCGGCCCTCAAAACAGCGAGCCAAATGTGTAGTGTTGGCATGCTGTTAGCGCCACTATGCTGTGCTACAGCCCTTTTAGCGGCAAAAACGGCCCAAATACCACTAAAATGTGCTGTAGCGCAGCACAGTGGTCCCTTTTTTGGGGCCCACACGTGTAGCCTTAGCGCAGTTGTGGCGGAATTCCGCTGCGCTATGTTAAGTGTCAGCGGAATTCCGCTACATTACGCTACACTAACCGCTATGGTTAGTGTAGCGGCCCACCGTTGGTTATGATCACAGGAGGGTATTCCCTGTCTTAGACAGGTTTGAATGCATATCCCAAACATTTAACAATCATTTGACATGAATTTGAACCAGTTGATGTTCTTTTATTTTCATAAAGAATTCTGCCACTGGGCAAAGCCTGGGAATGTTTTGTACCCACCCAAGCCTTCCCTGCAATTTGTCCGAATTTCAATCAGCTTATACATTCATCCCAAATGGGATCAGGGGCCAAGTAGAGTTGGTCAACTAAGCCTAAGGACTGGCTTGTTCTCTGTCCTGCTGGTATCCAACTCTTTCCTTGTGGAAGTAGATGATACTCATCCTTCATTTTGTACCCCCCCCCCCTCCCCCAGCTGAGTTCATCTTATGAGGAAGGGAAGACTGGCTTGGGTTTGACTGTTTGTTGAAACTGAGACCAATTAACAGGGAGGAGTTTTTTGGGAGAATTTTTAGACAACAAAATATTTTTGTTGGAACAGCTCAAAGTGGCAAAAAATGAAGGAGAGAGCTGATGGTTTTAATTTCTTGTACTAGGCTAGATTGAATAGACTAGATACAAGAGTTAAATTTAAATTTGTGGTTTGTTGAGAGAATTGAATAAAGAAACAATAATGAATAAAAAACAGACTGAGAGGAAATTGAATTCAGTGTTGATGAAGCATGAGAGAGACATTCTTTTATTTGTGATAACTCTACTTGATAAACAACAAAAGAAAACAAGAACCACAATTCTAGTGAAGATGTTAGTTTCATTAGATCAATCTCAACACCATAACTTTAAGAATAATTGTAAGATAAGCATGGAGAAGGAAGAAATTAACAACTAGGGATTCAGGGTTCTTTGTCTACAAGAAGTTGATGTTTAACTTCATGACTTGCTACTAGACAGACTATAAAATTATTAGCAGTTTAGGGTATTAATATAAGAAAGAGTTATAAAAGAATTGAGAAGTGAAGGAGATGAAGAAGGGAAGAGTCAAAATTCCAACACTGTTTCTTCTTGAGTCCTGTTGTAGCTGTTGCAAACTGTGTTCAAAATCCAGGCCATTTTTCTTTTCTTATTTAAATATCATGTTTCATTGATATACTTTTGACTGTGGATTATAAATCAGAGTTCATGATTATCAAGCTGGGGTACGAAAGGCTGAATTATGAGACTGTGCTTCTTTTCTTCAGCTTCCTCAATCTGGTCTGAGTGAAAGATCTTTCCTACTGTCCAAGCCTGGAAATGAGACACTAACAATTCCAAAAAGGCTGTTTTGTCAAATTAAAGTCCACTTTTCCTTCCAACCCTAGTGATCAGCAGAGATACAATCAATCATTGTATACAAACCATGCATCACATATCGAAACATTAATACCAATATCCCAACAAGTTGTTTCTTAGAACTGTCGTGTTGTTTGATAACTGCTATGCTGGTTATAATCTAAGTGGCTCAACTGAAATTGCACTCCAAAAAATCATAGGGCAACTAACAAAATTTAAAGGGTTGATGAGTGAAGGATTTTTTCTGGAAAAACTCAGAAGATAAAATCTTGAAAAAAAAACAAGCAAAAGACATAAAGCCCCCAAGAGCGAGTTGATGGATGACCATCAAAAGATAAGTAAGTCTTTGAGAATGAATCATCACTGGTTTCCTTGATCAACTTGGTTAGCATGTTGTCCAACCTGGTTCGCGGACTGGTTGCTGATTCCAAGCGCCTCTTCGTTGATATTAATGCCTTCCAAGCGGGTTGTGATTCCTTCCAACGGGGCGGTGATTCCTTCCAATGGGGCGGTGTTTCCCCCCATTCCAAAGCCAAACTCAATCGATTTTGCGAGTCGGGAAAGCTGCGTGTCGACATCTTTTATGTTTGTCAGGATTCGGTCGAGTTGAGCGGTCATGTGTTCGATTTTCTTCGAGACTTTCTCGGTGGCTTCAAGTTCCATCGCCACTGGGGTCGAATTTGCGGACGAGTTCGGAGGGGCGCTGGATGACTGTTGTCCTTCCCAAGAAGCATTCGTCGTTTGATTAGATTCAGCTAGCGCGTGTGCTCCATCTTGACTGGCATCATGAGAGTGTTGCATGTCTTCAGGACAAGGGTGAAATTAGTGAACAGTGAATAGCCCGAAGTTATCAATCAAAAAAAAAAAAAAAAAAAAAAAAAAACTAACTGTCTCAGAATACTGTGAAAACTAGGATCAATTACTAGGATCAATTGATGGGTCTGAATATTTTGACGTCTGAGTCAGCGGGATGTTGTAAATATAATCAGATCCGGGAGGGAGGGGGAAGGCTGATGAGGAGAGTAATCTGGTCGCAAAGAGCGTGTATTTATAGTAAGAGACCGCGTACTTGAGATCGGGACTCAGCCATGGACTGAGGTCCCAGGATGAGTTTTGATACCCAGCCAGACTCAGCCTTATTTAGCATCCTTTTTCGTTCCGTTCTCTACATAAGGTTCCTTACTCATCAACTCTTAGAAAATCTCGCGACATCTCATGCCCTTTGTAATTGTTTCCGGTCCTCAAACATATTCTACAGCGGGTACATAGGCATTCGCATTTTGCTCTAGTCAGGCCCATGTAACGCCACTAACAACAAAGGCGCCGATCGAGAGGAATGAAAAAAGGAGGCGGGTGTGTAATCTGCGTGCCATAAGAAATCCTGAGCCCAGTTTATTGTAACTGTCATTCGAGAACGAAAACCACCCAACAGAGGACTGATGCGGTTTCTCCTTTCTCCTGCGATTGGCGGTCTCGTCCTGATGAACTTGATCATTTAATGCTGCAACCCATCTTCAAGGCAAAATAATCAATGATGGATTCGCTCTTCCTGCCTAGAATTCGCGCATTGTTATGCGTTTTTTGTTCATGGTCAGTAAAGAGCCTACATGCCATTGCCAACCAGCCGAGAGAGGTTGTGTGATGTTGAAATTTCCTTACAAAATCATAGCAAGCATCTCTCAGAAGGTCTATGTACTCCCTCCAACAGCTCCCTGGGATTTACCCAGCTTGAAGCGTGTCAACCAGCTAGAGACTAGAGTTTTGATCATGTAGAAGAGCAGTCTGGACTATCAAGAAAGGTGGGGGGTTGCACTTTACAAGGCAAGCGCAACCCTCCGTCTTGGACGCGCCTAGGTGCGCTTCTGGGGGCGGAGCCCTTAATTCGGTGCTTCCGGGCGCCGACAACCAAGATTCTCACGTCAAAATTGCCGGTCAAATGTGAATGAGGTCATGAGATCGACTTCACTTTTCATAATCGTTCGCATGTGACTTGTGTGGTTGCGCAAAGCCACCTCCCTACTCTTCTCTCGGTGTCCATAGCCAAGCAGGCGTTGCCTTTGGCAATGGGGGGGAAGGCCTCGCTAAAACCTCATCTTGTATGCGATACTCCTCGCCAGTCGGCAGGGACCTGGTAAGGCAAGTGAAACAAGTTATCCGGCCGCAACTTGGCGGAATTACTAAGAATACTTTCACTAGTCATTGAAGCAGGTATTTCTTCCATTTTGCAGCAAGTGCAGACCGCGCAATGTCCAACTAAACATGTCTGCTGCTTTGCTCCAGAGGCAGGCCTTATAAGATCATGATCAATCGTTCTTTTTGGGAAGGGCCTAGAGCTCGTTGGCCATATTCAAGTCTGTGAAACTTAACAGCGGAGTACATACACCGCAACCGTGCAAGTACAAGCGCTGTTGTCTAGCGGAGGGGTGTATCTGTACACATGTAAATAGAGCTGTACAGTCAGCATTCTGTCATTTTCGTCCCACCTCGACCATCACTTACAAAAAATTGAAGATCCCGTAAGGCTCTGATATACAACATATACCAGTGGGGGGTGCACACAAGCGCTCGTCAGCACTGATCTGAACCATCCGCCCACCTCCTCAAGGCCCTTCTCACATCTTTCCCCAAGCGACGCAAACAGCCCCTACAACAAAATCTTTCGTTATCCACATTTTTAAGGAAATTTCCTGTCCTCGGGCTGCACCTCTACCACGATGTATCTGAACCCCAAAATGGGTTCCCTCTCAATCCTTTTATATGGCTTGATACTTTCTTTTCATGTTTCTTCGAATGTAGCTGCAGTTTCGGATTGCCCAGAAGCGACACCTTATCAACTCAAGACCCCACCGCTTACAACTGATTGGACGGCGAAAGTAGGCAAATCGCCATGGCCCGAATATCCTCGCCCATTACTCAGGAGGCAGAATTGGATGAACCTTAACGGTCCATGGCAATTTAAACCGGCCAAGGACTCTCAAGAAATCCAAAATCCACCCTTCGGGGGATGCGGGTTTGCCAGTGAAATCCTGGTACCTTTCCCGATGGAAAGTGGGCTGAGCGGGATCATGGAAAATAGCATCTACAGCTGGTATCGTAAAACGTTTGTCGTTCCCAAAGGCTGGTCGGGTAATAATGTTTTGGTGAATTTTGGAGCAGTGGATTATGAAGGTAATTATGAGACGCGCTTTACGCAAATTGTTTGAAATAATATGATCTCATCGGATCACTAATACTTTTACAATTATAAAACTATCATCTGTGCAGCCACGGTATTTGTCAATGGAAAGACTGTCGGATTCCACAGAGGAGGATATTTCAAATTTACTTTGGATTTGACTGGCGCGCTCAAGGGGCCGGGTGAAGAAAACGAACTGCTGGTGTTTGTCTATGACCCAACTAATTCGAAAGACACATTGATCCCTGGTAAGTGACATTTACTTAACTATGACTACTCCATTACATCCACGTCCCCTTTCCACGGCGCGTCTACGTTTTTCAGCAGCTGTGCTAACATTTATTTACAACTCTTCGATCAGTCGGCAAGCAAGTTTTGAAGCCTGACCACATATTTTATACGCCTAGCAGTGGGATTTGGCAAACAGTATTTCTTGAACCAGTGCCCAAGGAACACATTCTGGACATTCAGACCACCGCTCATGCGGATGGAAGTGGTGAGTCACTTGATCACAGGTTAATTGAGAGGGTGACATTTCCTCATGCGTTGAACTTTCTTAGTAAAAATAAAGGTTTCCACCTCCAACAACGCTTCCAACTCAGAATTGAAGATCACTTTATACAGTCCAATCATTTCTTCTGCGGATTCGCCGCTTTATCCAAACTCTCTGAGCAGCCCTCTGCAGCAGCATCAAGGAACAGCCAACACGCTCGTCACTTTCACCGTGCCTTCTCCTCAGCTTTGGTCCCCCACAAACCCAAACCTTTATCACTTCAAAGTAGAGTTAGGAGAAGATACCGTTCAAAGTTATTTAGGCTTCCGGACGATAGAGAAAAAAAAAGATGGCAATGGAATCGTGCGGCCTTTCCTAAACGGAGAATTCGTCTTTCAACTGGGCACGCTGGATCAGGGGTTTTGGCCCGATGGTTAGTATTCTTCTGATTCGATAGGATTATGTACCGTGTCTTAATGATTTTTCATTTTTATTTTTTCGCCATAGGTCTCCACACCGCTCCAACATTTGAAGCCATGACCTACGACCTGAAGGTTCTCAAGCGTTTAGGGTTCAACATGGTTAGAAAGCATATAAAAATTGAGCCCGATCTCTACTACTATGCCTGTGACCGAATGGGCATGTTGGTTTGGCAAGTAAGTTCCGGTTTTTTAAACTTAAGCCCTTCGCTTTGTTTGACGGCTTTCTGCCCATGGGCATTCATCAGGATATGCCCGCGATGAACCCCAATTTGCCATGGCCAACACCAGATCAGCAAACCGAGTTCGTCCGGCAACTGAAGTTGATGATCACAACCCATTCAAGTTTTCCATCAATAGTCACTTGGGTACTTTACAAGTGCGTGTTTTGCCCCTTGTTGCCACACACATGTCACCGATCAGCGACACTGAAAACCTGCCTCTGACTTATTTTCATCATTTTTTACATCCACAGTGAAGGATGGGGACAACTTAGGTCGTCTGAAATCGAATTGACGCCAATGGTCAAAGATTTGGATCCCACTCGTCCAGTCCTCTCTGTTTCAGGTTGGAGAGGTATGTCGCACAATCCATTCCCCGCAATTTTTATCGTTGGTGCTTCCTGCTCATTTTCTGGTTGATTTCTATTGCATTTTTTGCCTATGTGTTTCAGACTCTGGCGCAGGAGACTTTCATGACAACCACCACTATCGTAAGCTATCTTTGAAACGTAAAATATGGACCGGAGAAAGGAACGCTGATGTTTCCTTGTTTCCTTATTACAGCATACCCACAGTGCGGCACACCCTTCTATTCTCTGCCATCGACACCCTACGATCCAGCCAGGATAGGTGTCCAGGGAGAATTTGGCGGAATCGGGCACATCCCAGGCCGTCAAAATCTGTGGAACGTGCAAAGTCAGATCGATACCTTGAATCAAACCTACGAAATTGCATCCAGTATCGAGATTTGGAACTACAGAGCCACGCGCCTTGTGGAGGACCTGAGAGATCAAGCGCAATTGTTCAGTTGCAGTGGTGGCGTATACACAGTTAGCACTGCATTTTCCACCTCAAAGATTGAACATGGTTTCTGACCACCTCGAGTTAATCCGCCTTCTTATAGCAAACCACTGACGTAGAGGGAGAAACCAATGGATTGCTCACTGTAAGCAGTCCGGCTCAGAAAACTGTTTCATGTCTTTGCAGTCGTATAATGAAACAGACGCTGAGAATTTGATTTCTAATCCTAGTACGACCGCAGGATTCTGCGACCGGATCTTGAAAAATGGCAGAAAATCACCGCAGAAATCCATGCTGCCCCGCAGAAAGCCGCGCCTTTGGGAAACCAAAAACATAGCCAGTCGAATTCTCAATTACCCTTGCCAGCTAGTCATGAATTCAGGACTCGGGAATAGATCAGAGGTTTCGGTTGTGAAGATCAGATAGCACGACACATCAAGACTAATACCGCTGCAACAACATCTTCATCCTTATTAATACCATCACTCAAAAATAAACGATGCTCGTGGACAACCGATTGATTACTGAATACCCAAATGTACGCTCATTAAGTGTCTCAAGGATTTCTCTTTGGGCTTGTTTGACTTGTCAGAGACGATTCTAAAACTGTTACTTGAATGAAATAAAGCAAAAAGTGAAGTGATAATTTAAAAAAAAATGAAAACAAACAGGTGTTTATCTAAGAACTGTTGTTGCAGATGCAGGTGCTCCGTCATGAGAAATGTTGATTGGTATAGACTGGACATGGTTATTCAATCAGGCTCGTGCTAACTTAAATATCTACAAACATTGACAAGCGCCTCTAAGCTGTTCGGTGAAAGATGAAGTATGTCTAAAGTTCTGTACAACTGGTCGGATCGAATGTTTCTGTAGTTCACCTCACATAGAATCTTGATGGGAAGGGGTATCTTGACGATTGGATCCTGGTATTTCTAGGCTCGCGTACGCCAGTGTGTGAAGGAGACAATGGTGAAGTCGAACGTGTGCTCTTATGATTGGGTACCGGATCCTCTGAGAGAAAGCGTGGGCGAGATCCAGTCGTCGATGCTGATAATTGAAGTCAGTGTTTACCATGGTTCTCTGGGCAGAGGCCGAGATGGAGAGCTAAGCAGGGCACCGGGCCTTCTTTTTTCCACTTGCATGTGAGGGCGGTGCATTGAACCTTCTGCCAGTACGGGACTAAATTTTCGCATCTTCTTTTCCCAATCGGAACTTCGTTCATACATTTGATCCGGGCACTGCAGACGCAGAATTGCTCGTACCGGAAAGTTGATACGGGGGCGGCACATTGAGGGCAGGCTTTAATAGGAGCGTGCAGACCGGCATAAGAGGGGCTAATGCAACAGATGCCCAAGCAAAATATCAAAATGGTCTTCAGAAGCAGGCTATTCATTTCCGTGAGTCTTTCAAGTTGTAATATGTGCCGATGGAACAAGAGGTGATTACGGGATCTGATGAACCCGCGATCAGGATCAGTTGCGAAGGAATCACTTGCAAGCCTAAAGTGGCAAACCCGGTGCCCCAACAATATAAAGTCACTTGGATCAGAAAATCTGAGAATGCTTCCCAAGAAATACTTGTAACGCGTGTTAGCCGTGTCGTCTTACTATGTACACAGCGACACAAATCTTGCACAACTGGATCCGGAGATAGAGATGAAATGGATAGATGCCGTACACATAGAGATGATAGATCTGCCATTGATGGTGATAAGAAGGAAGAAATGTAACAAGAAGTTTGAAGAGCTGATGGGATTTTAATCATTGGGTTTCCTGGACAGTTAAGTAAAGAAATCTGATCGGACAGGACGGATTTCTTACCATCATTCATCTCATTGGCCAGGTATGATTCTTCCTGTTCAACCAGCTTTTATAATTCTCATTGGTTTGGTCTTTTGGCTGAGGGTTCAGAATGCCAAGCAGTATGAAAGTGAAAGCTTTCCTCCTTCCACTCTCTTTCAAAACAATGGCTGAATAGAAGGACAAGGACACGGAGATACAGGAATTTTGCTAGTACCTCTACATAGTTCTTTGGCTTGATTGGATTCAAGAATCCCAAATATCCAACAATTCAGTAAAAGAACAGGCCGAGATGATAATGAGGTGTTTTTGTCAGAGACCAAGCAGGACATCCAAGCGTGGATTATGAGCATGGTGTGAAGCAGAATGATCGATCCACTACTATCCCGACCGCTTTGGAATCAGAAGATCCAGTATGAGGATGGAGATTTTTTCTTGGTCATCCGCTGAGCGGGAGCTACATATTTTGGATACTTGAATATGTATGTAACTTGATCCATCGCCTGGTGATCACTGCAAACCAAGGAGAGTTTTACCTAGTTTGAAGGGGATTGATCAGTCGAGTTCTGGATACCATGAGCTATGTTTCTCCTGAGTTGAGTGTGTGCCAATTGAGGAAATAAGGATCAAGCAGTCCTGGTCAAAGTATGTAGCTAAGGGTGTGGATAAAAAGGGACCCTTGGTGAGACTCTAGTGTTGGTATCCGGACAGCGCCGTTCCGCCTGCAGTCATCTCCACCTCGGCCTTAACTTGCCCGCTTGTCGGCTGCGTGCAGAGTCCAGACTCAGAGTGATGCACCACCACTCCAACTTCCTCCCCACCCACTCTAAAGTCCTCCTCCTCCTCCTCCTCCTCTTCATCACCCTCCACACCCCAAACACCGCGATGGCTGCTACCAAGAAGCTTCTAGTGGGCTATGTCCCCGAGCATTTCTCGGCACCGCTACTCCAGCTGCTCGAGCACGACAAGGAGCTCGCAGAATGGGTCGAGCTGGTGCCCAACCCGAGCGGGACCGGACAGATGATCAGCGCCCTCAAGGAGCGCTCCATCCATCTCGCCGTCGCACTCACCGAGTCGCTCATCGCCGGGATCATCCTCGGCAAAGGGGACTACAAACTCATCGGCACCTATGTCACCAGCCCCTTGAACTGGTCTGATTCCTGCTCCCTCCCCTCTCAAATAAAAATCTCTCTATTTCAGTGAACTTCAAGCCGGCTGAAACCCTCCCTCCTTCTCAACAGGGCCGTCATCACTGGGGCTAACACCAAGTACAAATCGATCGCCGACTTGAAAGGCCAAAAGATGGGAATCAGTCGTCCAGGCTCGTCAGTACTCTTACTTCCCTTATCCATGCCTGATTCTGGGAAAAACTCAAGCTCATCTCTCCAATAAAACACAGTGGCTCACAAGTGATGGCCTCCGTCATGGCGCTCCAACAAGGCTGGGCTAACTCTCCCGACTCGGCCCTCGAATTTGTCGGTCAGTATCCTCCATCACCCTCCGCTGAATAGACTATCTCGTCGATCATCGCTCTCGAGCCAGACCGCTTATCGAAAGAATATCACATCCTCAGTGAAAGACTCGTTTAAAAACTTAAGAGACTCCGTCAACGACGGCTCCACTGCGGCCTTCATGTGGGAATGGTAAGCTCTCACCGTACTTCCCCGATCATTTCTTACTCCACTTGATCAATCAACTGACTAGCCCTGATCCGGAATCTTGCTTTGTTTTTGTGAATAAAACATACACACAAAAGGTTTACAACTAAGCCTTACCAGGACTCGGGAGAAGTCAAGTTTATCGGCAGCCAGCCCACGCCCTGGGAATCTTGGTAAGCGCAGAGACTTTCTTCTTCATGTAACGACTAGAAATGAATCGGGGTTGGGAGTCTGACCTGGGTGATTTTCTTGCGACCTTGAAACCTCTGAATACTCCGACAGGATGAGTGAGTTGATTAGAGAGAACACTTTTAATCCATCCATGAACTCTTTGTTTTGTTTCTGACGTTTGCTCCTTGACCTGCACCGATCTGGGGAAAATGGGACAAAGTCGCTGCGTCCCCTGAATCGGTCGATCCCGAGCTCCTGGCGCCCGAGAAGCTGCGGTTATTCTTGAGCAAACTGGACGAATCGATCCACAGGTTCGGGGCCGAACTCGGGATCCGTAGCCCCGAGGATGTCAAATACATCCAGGACACGTTCCAGTTGGGTCTTCCCCATTCATTCTCCTTCCTTCGGAAGCTTGAATGGATCACTCACGACTGACTGAATCTGCTCGGTTCCTTCGATATATCTAGTCAAAAGGAGGAAGACGTTAAAGAATGGATGAAAGGCGTCAGTTATCCGAAGAAAACTCACGAGATCTCTCAGAAGACCTTGCAGGAAACCGTCAAGTAAGTCCTCAAACATCTTTATTATCTTTCTTTCCCCCCTTTCAAATGACCAACCCTCTTTGCTCATGGGTGTTGTGGGTTCTATAAGGGATTTGGGACTGGCCGGAGTGATCCTGGACGCCAGCAAGGTCGTGATACCTGACCAACTCGTCAACACTGATGTCGCCAAGGTGATCCAAACCTGAGCGGAAAGTGTGTGTATGTATGGGTCCAAAGAAGCCCCGCAATCTCTTTCCTCAATTGTCTCTTCTTCTTCTTGTATGAATCCCTGGGGTCTTCTTCAATGACTCGAGAGCATTGTACAATCATCAGCATGTGGCATGTTTCTCTTTGTCTAGCTGTTCTATACGCACGAATCTATCGTTGTGAAAAAAAAGAAGAAGAAAAAAAAATCGTTTTTATTCTCTTGTCTGTCTGCCCTTAAAAGGCTTGAATGCATTCACAATCTATCTACACCCGTCCATGGGATTTCCTGGGCAAGACCCCAATGAGATGTATGATAAATATCTGTCCACTTGACTTATACTCTATAGATGATACTGCGGAATCCAGAAATCATCGAATGCGTGCGTGTGACTAGTCAAATCCTTAGGGAAGCGAGGAACTCATCCGGAGGCTGAGCATTGGTGCCTCCGGAATCGATGTTCCAAGTCCACAACAGAAACATCCATCCAGTAATGTATTGTCCCTTCAAGAAAAGACAGATAGTCTGGCGTGGCGTTGGCGGGGCTTTTCTCTCGACTTCGACGTCTCAGAATCGGCGTCCCGGGTCGCCAAAGTGTGACTTGGCGAGCTGCGACCCTGCACATATCTTCCTACTCCTCCCTCATTTTCATTCGAATGGGATCACTGTTGTTACATTTTGATGATGGCCATTATATCCGTTGTACATCTGCTTTTCTCTGGAGGAATGTGTGGATCTTTTGTCTCAGAAACCTTTGAAAAAAAAAAAAAACATAGGAGTCAGAAAACGCAGTTTTTTTTTTTTTTGTTCTTGCTTAGGTTTGATTCCAAAGGTGGAGATGCGTAGGGAATGGAATATGAAGACGTTAAGGGAGGGGATCTTACAGCATTGGCAATCGAATGGACACTCTGGTGTATCTACAAGAACAAATTTTATTGTTGGACAAAGAGATCAGTAAACAGATAGATTATCAAGAGAAGAAAGGGAAAAAAGGTGTAGAGAGAGGGGGGAGGGTAAGACAAGCAATCAAACGAACCTTGGCCTAGTCCGATCTTGAGTTCCTCGACCGAATAGATCATCAATCCGTCCTCGGTTTTCGCTCCTATATTTGGTGAGGGGCAGACGAGATTTTGTCAGTTGTGTGAGGGACTGGATGATGAGGAGAGGGAGGGAGACAGCAGTAGACGGACGTGTGCCCCTGGAGTCGCGGAAAGCGCGTTCCTGTTCGTCGTCTAGATCGAGAGTGGAAGGAAGCCCGTTGCCCTTCTTTTTCTTCTTCTTCAAGCAGTTGGGGTCGAGGGCGGGAGGAGGGTGGAGGAGGGCCTGGGAGGGGTCGAGGAGGACCTCGACGGATGGCTCCTCCTCGGCTCGTCGCTTGAGGGCCGGCCGGTCGTGCAGGCTGGGGATCTTCTTCTTGTTGTTCAGCCTTCGCTCTTCCCCTGACGCTAGTGCTTTCCCGTCCGACGCTCCACTCGCTCGGCTCCGGCCCGTCTTCGACCCCTCCCCGTCCGACGGCCCTGGATGGTCTGGTGGCCGCGCTTTGGCCTTCTTCCCGGTAGTGCTGTTGTTGGTCCCTTTCGAGGAAAAAATCGCATCGATTTCGGATAGGTTCTTGGACACCATCGTGAAGCTTCTTGAACAACTGTGTGTGAAAATGCGATGATGTGTTTCCCAGAAATTCATAAAACTTCACATTTCTTATATGCAATTGTGCCCAACATATTTATGCATGTAACATTCCTGTGAGCTCCCTGGGGCCCCTCGCAGGGGGCTAAAATCTTTTTTTGTCGCAACGACGACCTGGATGGGTACAGCTTGTATCCCTAAACACCTACTATCCAATACTTAACTCTTGTGAAAACACCAAAGTAAGAGACGGTAATTGTTTATTACTTATTATCCTGGCAGCTAGGGTCCCCAGAAGTTGGTGATGCCACTGGATCACTTGCGGTTGTGGAAAAATTGCCCCCGCTCTATGAGGGATCAAATTGTCATCACGACGCAACCCCCAGTTGAGTCATATGAATGAACTCTTGGAGGGTAACGTGAACCCCAACAGATGCCTTATATTATTGGCCACATCTCAGGCGAGGTGTTGGTTCTCCCTTCGGTCGGGTAACAACAGTTTATGCGCACCGCTTCTGAATCTGGATGCAAGTTGTGTGATGAAGGATGCCTTAGGAATTATGTAACGGGCTTAGATCCCACTTCAAATGCCGGCCTCCCTCACAAGAAACATGGAAAGGCCGGCTACTGTTGTAATGATTAGGAATCGAGGTGCTAGACAATCGTAATGAAAAGGTTCAAATCTATCGGCAAGACTATCAACCCCTCCCCCGTCGGTTCACAGTGGTAGCTATTTACAAACCCACCAATATTGTCGCCAGCAACTTGGGTGCCCTAAGGCTATGGTAACTAATTGTCTCGTTTTTAGGTAAGCTTAGGGCGAGGTTAGACACCACATCCGCAAGTATTAATAGATGTGACCAGTACCTTGCACACTCATCCACCTGGCCGTCGACTCAAGCACTTTGTCCTCTCACCTCTAGCTTTGCTCCTCTCATTTTCTCGAGCTGCGCTCAACCTTCATCACCTTTCCTGTTTTTGAAAACCCCCTTTTTCCATCTGGCTCTTTTTATACTATTTAGATCGAATATTCTTCTACATACACGATGCCGGGCATCAAATTTCTAATCGGCCTGCTTGGTATCTTCATGGCAGTCTCTGAATTCACTGTCGACGCTAGCCCCCTGAATATACCCAACCTTTCAACGATGACAAAGTCCAAACGAGATCTCTTGTGAGTCTATCTAGTTTTATGATCCCTCCGAGAATCTTTCCATCCCAATCCTACTTGGATCCAAGACTGATGGACAAGCTGTGAGTAACTAGGCTCGCCAGACGAAGAGTCGAAGGATCGCGTCACTCACTTTTTTCTCGATCACCCACCCACGGCAAAGGGAATTTATTGAATAAACTACTTGACGTCGGCCTCCAAGGCCCGCCTCCCTTGGGCGGCAAAGAGGGCAAAATAGGAAAGGAGGGAAAAGGCGGAGGTCTGTTAGGCGAGATTTTAGGACTCGTTCCAGGCAAAGAAGGTGTCGGACCTCCGGAACTGTTGGGTGGGCCTCCACCTCCGCCGGACCTTTTGGGCGGACCTCCGCCTCCACCGGAACTCTTGGGTGGAGCTGCTCCGCCTCCTCCGGGTGGAAAAGAGGCCGGAAAGGCCGGGCTCCCGCCCCCTCCGCCGCCGGAAGCTTTGGCTCGAAATACGACACAAAGGGCGGAGGCTGGTAGAGGTGGCCCGCCAGAAGTTTCGAGTGGTAGAGGAGCAGAAGCAGCCAAACTCTCTGGCGTCAAACTAGGAGAAGCCAATCCTGGTCTAACAGCAAAAGGAAAAGAAGGAAAAGCAGGAAAAGCCGATCTTATTCCTGAAGTTTCGAGCGGTCAGCTCGAAGTCTCGAGTGGTAGAGGCGCGGAAGCAGCCAAACTCTCTGGTGTCAAATTAGGAGAAGCTAATCCTGGTCAAGCATCCAAAGGAAAAGAAGGGAAGGCAGGAAAAGAGGATCCTGTCCCTGAAGTTTCTAGCGGTCAGCTTGAAGTCTCGAGTGGTAGAGGCGCAGAAGCAGCCAAACTCTCTGGTGTCAAATTAGGAGAGGTCAATCCTGGTCCAACAACAAGAGGAAAGGAAGGAAAAGCAGGAAAAGAGGATCCTGTCCCTGAAGTGTCTAGCGGTCAGCTTGAAGTCTCGAGTGGTAGAGGCGCAGAAGCAGCCAAACTCTCTGGTGCCAAATTGGGAGAGGTCAATCCTGGTCCAACACCAAGAGGAAAGGAAGGAAAAGCAGGAAAAGAGGATCCTATCCCTGAAGGTTCGCGAGCTCAGAGCTTGATTGCAGGTGAGGAAGGAGCCATTGGGCTGCCTGGAAATCTAGGAAAGGCGGGAAAAGCCGGCAAAGGAGAGGGCGGGGGAACTAGATTGGTTCGAGACGCGGCCATTACTTTGGCTCAAGCGAGCAAGCTCATTGATAATAGCATGCAGTTGATGCAGGTAAATTGTTTCGGATTTCTTTGATCCCTAATTGGCCAAAGTTTACATTCTTACAATTGTTTGTTTTCCTCAATGATACGCTCAAATCTCTAGAGTTCCTCCATCAACGCGACTGATCTAAAGAGTGCAGCTGAACAGGGCGCAAAGATTGCAAACGGCGAAGACTTCTTGAGAGAAGTGGTAAGCTAAGATTCACTGACTTCTCAACCAAATTCTTCTCCTTAAAGAATACTCTTGTATTTGGGATGAGATGTTTGTCTGATTTTCGTAAAATGTCGTGGACAGCTCGCTAGTGCGTCGAAGGATCCAGCTGCTGCTCAAAAGTCTCTCGGAATCATAAGAGATAACGCACAGCTTGTAACGTAAATAAATTGTTTTTAATATGATGACTCATATATCCATGTGCAAAAAAACCACAGGGGTTTGCATTTAGATGACTGTAACTGACCATCTTTCTTGGGTTGCGCATGGTTCAACTTGTGATTTGACCAACAAAACTTCCAGTCAAGGCTTTGATGACATCGCGAAGAATTCAGAGGATAAGGCTAAAGTTAAAGAAGGGTTGGAAAAAATGGGAGCCGCACGGTAAGTCGAACGTTTCCAAGTAATATTGAGCCTATAACTGATTAAATGTTGCATGATGCTCTCCCAACATTCACGTATGAACCAACGCGATGATTGTCGTGTTGAACAACTCAGCAAACAAGTCATCCTAGCAAACACCGAACTGATTCAGGATGTCTCGCGTGATTCTCGAGGGACTCGAGGAGGTGCAGAGCAAAGACAATTAAACAAGGCTGTTAAAACAACTGAAAAGCCGGCTGAAAACAAGGCAAATGAGGCGACTCAGAAGAAATCAGCAGAAGAGGCCCAAAAGAATCTAGCTCTTCAGTCAAAAGCTGTTGATGATCAACTTGCAATCATCGCAAAACAAGACTCCGGTGCTGCTGAGATCGCAACGGCAGCTCAAAAGGCCCTGGAGCAAGTAAGCATTTCTTTTTTTTTTTTGAATATAAAACAATACAGCTTCATTTTTTTTTCCGTTTGAGTTTCTGACAAGGTTATAAACAAACCCTCATCTTTTTAGGAATCAGCGCAGCATTTTCATAGAGAAGTGTTGGCAAGTGTTGCAAACAATCCTGCAGCAGCCATGCAAGCCCTGGGCAATGTAAGAGATCACGAGTTCAATCAAGTTGTGTAAGTTTAGTTCTCAGCTGGCCTTGTAACAGACAACTTGAGAGATTCATTGGCTGCTTCTCTGGAATTTCTTAGTGCTGGCCTTCGATCGATTGCTGCGAACAGTCAAAACTCTGAGGCTGTAAAAAATGCCATGTCTGTCGTGACCCAAGGCCGGAAATTTATCGTGGCAGGTACGCTTTTTTTAGTGGGTTTATCGACGATATTGGCTCACAAGCTCATTAATTTTTCTCGCATAAATGAAATTGGTTTCATTAAAAAACACTTGCTCTTGTAGCCAATCAAAAATTGATAGAACTCTCTGGAGGATCTGCTGCAGAAGCAAATGTCAAAGATAACAAGGCAGCCGATGAAAAATCGGCCAAAGTAGCCGAGAAAAAAGAGGACAAAGTGAGCAAAGAGAAGGACAACCAAGAGGCCAAACTGAATCAAGAACAGGTGGCAACCCAAGAGAAGAAAGAAAATAAGGAGGAGGTCAACAAGAATGGGAACGAAGCAGAAAAGAAGAAGAAGGAGGAAGAGCAGGTAGAAAAGAAAAAGAAGGATGAGGAGGAAGGAAAGAAAAAGAAGGAGGAAGAGCAGGAAGAAAAGAAAAAGAAGCAGGAAGAAGAAGGAAAGAAAAGGACGGAGGAGGAAGAGGCGAAAGTGAAGGAGGAAGAAGACGGCCAGAAGAAGGCCGAGAATAAGGATGCAGAGGGCAAGGCCGATGAGAAGCAAGAGAAGGCGAAGAAAACAACCCAGGAACAACAGTCGAAAGAGCAGGATGCGAAGAAGGAAGAGGGGGTCAGTAAAGAGGACGCTGTAAAGGAGGAAACCGTGGCTGCTAGAACCAAGAACATCAACGAGGAAGCTGCAGTTGAGGCCGAGGCTAAAACGGTGCAAGTTTAGTATCTCCTTTTTGTATTCTCCCTACATCAATGAAACTTTGCATTCTTGATGGTTGGGCAGATCCCAGGACATTTATCTTATTTTTCACTCCTCTTGAAGAGGTTAAATAGTGCAGATAATTAAACCAATTGACATTCCCAAGTTTTGTATGTACATGTTCCATTCTCTTGATGAGGATGTTATAATTTTTGTGTTTTATAGACCACTTGGAATTTGACATTTGAGCATGTATTGTATTCAGTTTTCTTATGCAAATAAAAATTAGTATTCTGATATCCTGTGAGGGAAATTGCAGATCTAAAGACCTGATACCATTTTGCCAGCCAAGGAAAAAATCCAACAGAAAAATCACATGGAAAGAGGAAGATAGACAAAAAGTCTCAGACTATGTGACAGAAGGCCTCCTGAGCAGAACTATCACTCTCCAGATGTTTATCTTTCAACCAATTCATTCTGATATTCATTCAAAAAGATGAGATGCTACAATGGATATGTATGATTTGATGTAGATAAAGATGCTGTGATATGTAAGTTTATGTATTCAGGATGGTAATTCAGGAATGGAGAAAAGCTATGCCAGGGCAGAGTATACAACACATTTGACATGCTGATGAATATGAAATGACTGGAAATTGTACAAGGTTGTTTTGTTATGTGATGTTACTTTGTAAGGAGGGACCAGACAAGAAAAAGCAGCATCGTCTTCTTCAAAAAGTTCTAATCAAATTGTAATGCATATTTCAATTGGCGTCCAAACTTGAGAACAGTAGCAATCAATCCAACGCTAGAACATCCGACAAAGAACCGTAAGCTCCAGTCGATCAATTGGCTCTGTTTAGCTTCTCTCTTGATCACTTGAGAATAATCTATATCATCTCGAAACGTGACCATAGTACTAGAGTAAAAAAATGAAACAGCAGACATCAATATTCGAGAATCTTGTGAGCCAGTCAGGCGAGGGAGAATAAAAGAACATCAAAAAATTACTAGGAATAGAAAAGAACTCAACTACAATGGTAACCAATTTCCTCTGAGGAGGCGAGCCAATACACTATCGACCTTCTTTCTCATCAAGTAATCAAACCTTGTAACCTTGTCGCTCATTTCTCGATAATTCTGTAACGCCAAATCGCAGATCGCCAGTAAATCTTGATGACGAGTCTGGGTATAACTCTCAAGAATCACCCCGAGCTTCTCCTTCTGATTCGCCGGTTTGATTTGATCAGTGTATTTTTGGAAGAGCTGATCCAGCTTTCTCACATCCTCCAATCCGCAGTTCATCCCTTGACCTATAAGAGAGAATCAAGTCCATATTAATAAGTGAAAGAAATAATCATATGGACTTGGTCTGGGTGGAACTTGGTTTGGGGCAAAGAAGTTGAATTATTACCGTAAAAGGGGACCATCGAGTGGGCTGCATCCCCAATGATCACCGCCTTGTCTTTGTAATGATAAGGTTTACACTAGTGACAAAAATTCGTCAAAATGAATGGCGGAGCCTTCAAAAGACCACTGGCTCAATGACAAACCTTGATAGTAAGTAAGCTCCCGCGCGGATTTTCGACAAAACATCTGATCAAATCTTTATGCCCAATGAGGGATAAAGCATCGGGAAAGTGGGTGTTGAAGAAGTCGATTATATGTCTTTCTTCTTCCTCGTTCTTGGGAACTTCGAGTTGATCAAATACGCCATGTTGAGGGGCAAACAATGTGCATGTAAACGATTTGTCCTATGCAAAACAAAATAAAGGTCATTTGAGTCAGCGTATCATCGAACTAGGCCAAAAAAATGGATCGGAGAATAGCGAAGTTTGAGATACCTGATTTGGCAAGGCAATTAACATGAATGATTGACGAGGCCAGATGTGTAAGTGATTGGGATCTAACAAGAAGCAAGGTTTTCCAGTCTCCTTATCAACGCCGGGTGGGATCGAGAGTTCTAGGTATAGATCGTCAATGTATTCTTGAGAAAAGTCGACGCTTGGAGATCGAATGAGAAAAAAAGGGGTTAGCAGCAGCAGATAACCCAGGAGTGGATAGGTGATTATTCTGGCGTTGTTGAGGATATGCTTACCGAGTACATCTCATGATCTGCTGTCTCACTTGACTGTAAGACCCGTCAGCACCAATCGTGAGATCTGGCTTGACTTCTAAGGTCTCATGGGTATTCGTATCTTGAAATACCAAGGTGGAATCGTCGAATCGAGCCTTGACCAGTTTCTTATTGAAGTAAACAGTCACGTTAGGTCTCTGTTCAGCCTCGGAGAGAATCGATTGGTTGAGTAAATTTCTATCGATCGAGTTGATGCACTGGTTTATGACATCAGAGGAAGATCAGCTGGAAAACCCTTATTTTGCCACATTTTTTGCTTTCTCAAATTTCTTACTTCTTCGTGTAGTCCATAAGGTTGTGAGTTGAGTCCACCATCAATATTGTGGATCATTCGGCCTTTCATGGGGGTGACTTGTTTCAGTAATCTCTCGACCATCTCTGAGTCGACCGCTCTTATGGCTTCGATCCCTCTCTTGGAGAATGCCAAGTTGATAGATCTAGGACGGTTGACGGTTTTCTGCGGTTTACGAAAATCTGTGGATTGCCATGTTACTCTTAGATTCTGGTCTTGCCTTTCTGATAAAAGAGGGGGTGGATGGAGCGGGTATGGATATTCTTCAAGACTCACCAGATCGGGCCTCGAATAAGTCGACTGACCATCCGTGGTTCTCCATCATGCATGCCGCCAAGCATCCAACTGGACCGGCGCCCACGACAACAACTTTGGGTTTCTCGGACATGGGTTTTTAGTTTTTGGGATCAGTTGATTTATGGCGAAAGAATTGCTGAAGTGATGTGAGGATATCTCCTTCGACCGGAAGTTTTCTCCGGAGGCTCTTGATGGGTCAGAGAGGATTGAAGTTGCAGCTGCGAAGAAGGGGGTGATGGTTTGTTTTGTGATGTAGATATTCTGATCTGAAACGAGTCTGCCACATTGGAAGGGAGAGGCAAACAGACTCTCGATTGGCTCCAGCATGACGTCATCGAAATATCCAGGATAGTTTCCCTCAAGTCAAAGAAACATCAGTGTGCTGGGGACAGGTTCGATCGATGTGGATGGTCGAAGATAGAGAAGCCAGTCTACATCCCCGATGGCCAGGTTGCCAACTTGCCCAAGCTTGGTCGCATGTAAGATCCATGGCGAGTTGGACTTCTGCATCAGCTTGGCCCTTCCCTGCGCTTGTGGAGATATCATCGGCCGAACGCCACACCCTCAACGACCGCCGGAGGGACCCCTTCTGGGTGGTCACACACCCATCCCCATTCTGAAAGGGCACCATGCTGTGCTTTGCTGCCCACACTGCACTTCTAAGAACAAGGAAATTTTCTTCAACAAAGGAGGCATGTATGTACCAAAAAAATCAGGAAAAACTGGCCATCAATCCGGAGTTTCATTCAGGAGGAGAAGACTGGCATGTCAAAGTGGAACAAGGACTGAACAAGACAGATCAACGGCATTTAGGAATCAGATTAATGTCAGAAATACTGATTGATTGATGTTGGATTCATCAAAAATTAACAAATTCAACTTTTCTGTGTATTTGGGAGGTACAACAAATGAAAAGATAAAGCGAGAATTTGCATCCAAATAATTTTGAGTCAAAGACCCTAAATCACACTCTCTCACAAGGATATACAAAGGTGTTTTGGATATCAATCAAAGAAAAAATATGTGACTAATTCTACTTCAAATGGAGGGTATCTTCTTCTAGGGGGATGTTTCCAGGATCTAGGAAGGGGTTATTCCACTACCTTTGCAACTGGAGTGCCACTTGATTATCACAAAATTCTAGGTCTAGCTTGGTAGTACTGGAATTAATTGAGTCTAACTGAATACTTGCACTCAGCCTTGATGACTCTAGACTCTCATTAAGTATTCCAGTCTAGATACCATTGACTCCAGATGGGGATGGCTGTCTCAAGAGATCAGATTCAGCTTAATTCACATAAAAAGGAAAGAAGAAAAAAGAAATCAATGGCTCATTTGAGTATTATTATGAAGAAGAATCATGAAAGCGCTCACCAGTCCCAAACACCTCATAGCGCCCATTTTCTAGAACGAGTCCTTCTCCAGCAATTCTGCGCCCTTTATCTGCTTTTGATCTATAATCCATTGCCGAAAGGTGGGGGCTGTCTGTAAAAATGGTAGAATCAATTGCTTTCTTGAAACAGTATTAATAAAAAACTCAATAGAAGTAATAGTCTTAAAGAATAAAAAACAATGTTAGAATGAATACTCAAATGACAATATAAATGAAATATAACATTAATAAATACCTGATGGATGAAATCAGAATATAACAAAATCTTAACACGATTTATACCAACGTTAACTCTTAACACACAGGAATGTTTTAGCGAATACAGCCTAGAGAAATGAATAATAAAAACGGTCAATATTTTGATTACAAGTGAGAAGAAACAAGTCAAATCAACTACCTGCCCAGCAGCTGATTCTAGCTCCTCCTGAGTGCTTGAAGTAAACGATGATTAAAAACCGGTTTTCGATTTGATTGATCAGCGAACAAGATTTTGTTGACCTCGGGATGATTTTTGATTCGATTAAGAGATCGGCGGATTGTCGAAGGAAGGGGAAAGAAGGGATGACGAATGATCGATGAAGTTCAAAACTGGAAGTTGAGGCCCGCGGATGACGCGAATTAAAACTGAACTTTAAATGAATTAATACTTAATGTCCGAGTTTAAACTCAACACTGTCACCTTGGTATAAGAAAATGGAAAGATACTATGAGTTCCGCGACTGGTTTTATTCGAGTGCAAAAGAAAGATAATATTGCATGATTACAAACCTATAAGAAAATGGAAAGATACTATGAGTTCCGCGACTGGTTTTATTCGAGTGCAAAAGAAAGATGAAGAAACTCGAATAGCCAGCCGCGGTTACAACTTATAAATGTTTTGATTATGTAACATGCAAGTTTGAAAAGTATGTGAATATGAAATGAAAAGTATGTAAATATGAAATGAGAATTAGACAAAAGTCAGAAAAGAATAAACTTGATGAGAAAGGAAAAAACCAAAATAGTTTGACATGTTGACGTCTCATAACCTTACAGCCCCCCCCAACATGGAAAACTTTTGCCGGTACTAGAGCTTAAGATAGAGAGAAAAAAAATGAAATGAAATGAGAGAAGAAAAAAAATAAAAGATTAGACAAAGGAAGTCATGAAAGACCATAGAGGAAAAAAAAAAGGGAAAAAAAACAAAAAAAATAAGGAAGGAGGGTTATGCCGGAATCTCCCCAACACCCATGTCCTTCAGGCTAGCCAGATGTTTAGCAGCACCAAGGCGTTTGGTGAACACGTCCGCCAGTTGGAATTGATTTGAAATCCAATACAGTTTAACCTGATATTGCCGAACAAAATCATTGACAAAGTAAAAAGCACGCTGTAAATACTTGATCTTCTTTTTGGAGGCATTGTCGGTGGCGACGAGTACAGCGGCCTGGTTGTCACACAGGATTTCATACGTAGATACCGGGCACACATCATCAAGTACAATTTTGATGTTGGCAAGCGTTTGAGTGGCAATGGATAATGCTACATATTCCGCCGCGCAAGTGGACATGGCCACAACCTCTTGGCGTTTGGATCCCCAAGTGATGGGGTTACCGCAATGTTGTAGTATGTACCCTGAAGTCGACCGCTCGTGCTCGCCACCCCAACCCGCATCGACAAAGAGCCGCACTTCCTCCTTCCCCGGCTGGAAATGAATGGCCCTGTGTGGGTTTTTCTTGATGTACCCAACTAGGTGATCGAGGGCGGACCAATGAGCTTCAGATGGCCGACTGCTATATCGTGCAAGCATGTTGACCGCGTACGCAATGTCCGGACGAGTACCGCACGCCAGATACATAAGGGAACCCAGCACGGATCGGAATGCCGTCTCATTGACAGGATCCGTCGTGGACGTTTCAAAAGTAGTTTCCGGCAGTGTAGTGTTTTGATGGACTGTCCGACGCTGATAATTACTAACAACTTGCGTAGCCAACAGGTGCTGCTCGAGGTAAGCAGAGGAAACTCGTTGGTGTATGTTGATTCCAACAATCTGATCCACCTGCTCTTTCCACTTGATCTCAAGGTGTTCCGTCATTCCGGCACGTAGTTCGTCGATGGCGGATTGAGAGTTGCTGACAACGAGTCCGTCATCAACATGCATCCAGATGAAGATGCGAACCTCCTCACGCCGGTAGACGTACAGGGATGACTCGACTTCCGATGCCTCAAAGTCAAGCTTAGATAATATCTGCTTGAAATGAAGCCACCAGCAGCGGCCAGCCTGTTTCGTACCGTAAAGGGCCTTCTTCAAGCGTAGGACTTTCCCTTTTAATTGTGGTCGGAGCTCGGTAGGCGGTTTCACATAAACCTCTTCCTCAATCGGGCTGTACAAGTAAGCAGAGCTGACATCAAATGAATTCATAATGTACTCAAACTGAATGGCGATGGAGATTAGCAGTCGAAGTGTCGCCAGAGAGGCCGTAGGCGCGTAGGTGTCGCGACAGTCGATGCCAGGTCGCTGATTGAATCCGCGTGCCACGTATCGGGCTTTGAAAAGGATGATCGCCCCAAGAATGTCTCGTTTCAACGCAAACACCCACCGGGCTCCAATGACTTTGATACCTTTCTGAGGCTCGACAGCTTCCCAAACATCCAACTTCTCCAGTTGGGACAATTCACGTTTGGCTGCCTCTCTCCATTCATCAGCGTGCGGCCCCGCTAGCGCCTGATGGATGTGATTGGGGATAGCCACATCGGAGCGAATAGGCAACGAGTCAACAGCGCGTTCCTGTACCAGCGCCTCTTCATCCGTCCGTTCCTGACCCAGTACAAGGTTATTCAGAAGGAAAGAGATATCATGCTTTGTCGTCGGTATTTCAGCCACAGGAAGTTGTTGGAAATCCGGGAAGACAGCATTGGTAGATTGCGTGAAAGTTTTCAAGTGTTCGTTGTAAAGTACCCAGCCCTTCTCGGATGCCGGATAGCCAACCAGAAAGCACTCATCCGCACGGAGATCAAACTTTGTGTTCCGCTTGTCGACCGGCCGAAACACCAAGGCCCTAGCCCCGAAAGGGAAAATGTATTCCGGGACCGGAGTCTGGTTAAACAATATCTCGATCGGTGTCTTGGGAAAGATGCGTGAATGCGGCAGCCGATTATGTAGATACACAGCCACCTGCTGAGCATAACTCCAGAACAACTGCGGAAGAGTAGAATTCAGCATCATGACTCTGGCCATGTCGTTGATTGTCCGATTCACCCGCTCGGCCTCCCCGTTTTCTTCAGGATGATAAGGCGATGAATGTGCCAGGGTTATCCCGCGCGCCTCAAGAATGGTCTTGAGTTTCTTGGAGATGAATTCGCCCCCATTATCACATCGCAGAAATCGCGGAAAACGGCCAAGACGATTTTTAATCATGTCGAACCAGACTCGAAGGCGCTCTGCGACATCTGATTTTTGTTTCATTGGGGTAATCAGAGTGTACATCGACGCGTGATCTCTGAGCGTGAGTGCGAACTGATTCCCATGGATGTCTTCATCGAAAGGACCCATGACGTCCGATACCACAAGGTCCAGGATGTCGTCCTTAGGGATTGAGGATTTTGGCAGGAAACGCTTCCCAGTGGATTTGGTGACGACACATTTTTCACAGAAGAACGGCTTCCAGGTCTTCACACAATCTGAATCGACGAAACGCTCAAGAAATTTCAGTACAGCCTTGTCGTTGGCATGACCAAAACGTTCGTGCCATTTAATGGACTCCATGCTGGGTTGGTTCGACATAGATGCAAGGACAATATCATTGCAAACGGGGGGAGAATCTTCTTTGGTGACTAAGTTCCAACAATAATTGGAGAAATGGGTGCGGAAAACACGATGTTTATGAACCAATGACATTGTACAATCTTTATCAAACACTGGTTGAAGACCATACGTAGTGAGCATACCGAGAGAAAGGATGACATAAGGAATGGAGGGATGATGGTAGACATTCTTTATCCGAATCGTCCCACTAGGTGTCGGAATCCTCAGGCTGCCCATTCCGGTAAGTGACAAATCGGATTTGCGAGACGCAAGGAGAACAGGTACTGGATTAGTCAACCGCCTCTCAAACGTGAAGAAGGGCGAGTTCCCGCTTACACAAGCCGAGGCACCCGAGTCGATTAGGACTGTATCATCGTTAGGTGCAGAGGTGTCAATCGCGCGTACACGGACGGGACCAGGCTTGGAACCGGAAGTGTTGGGAGGATTGGGTGGAGTCGCAAGTTGGCCCACATCAAGTCGTCCTTCCTGTAAGTCTCGGGCAAGGCGTCGGCACGTAGAAGCCCAATGACCCTTGATCTTGCAGTAATTGCATTCAGATCCTTTATCAGCCATTTGGGAGCTGGTCGGTTGAGTGCCTTTGAAGGCGAGAGCGTTCGCTAGCGCTTTGTTGCCAAATGTAGAGGCTTTAGGCTGTTCAGGTCGTTTCTTCAAATGGGTGTTGGTGGGCATGACGCGGTTGACGAGTATGGGGTTGTCCGATGTACCGGTTTGAAGCTCTCCTTCCACTTGAGTGATTTGTTGGCATACTTTGTCCAAAGTCGGTACAGTCGTAGACGTGTTCAAACGATGGTTCAGATTGTTGCGGAATGAGTTTTCGTCGATGTCGACTGGCGGTTTCACGACAGATTGAAGCATTAACCCGAAAAACTCCTCAGTGGTTATCTTCTTCTGTTTGACGTCGAAATAAAATTTCTGGAACTGAGCGACGAGTTCATCATTTGAGTGCTGGCGTTCTGATTGGTAGAAGTCGTGCAATTGAGCAACCAGTTCGAGCTTGTTTTGGCGGTCGTTACGTTTGCAACTAGCCTCGAGTTTTTCAAAGATATCCTTAGGCTTGCGAGTCGATGCGACCGTCGCCAAAAGGTTCTTCTCAAGAGTTGAGCGCAATAATATAATCAAAGAAGGTTCTTGATCATCGTGAACTGTAAGCCAGTTGGTCGCTTTTGAGAGAAAATCCTCTCGTCGATAAACAAATTCGAGAGTGGCATTGATTTGCTGTTCCCAGGCGGAGTAGTTCTTCCCACCAAACTTTAAGTATTCGACAGGGTTGTGGAATGATCGATGGAGGGCCATTGGATCCTTCATGAATTGCTTTTGGTTGAAGGAGTATCCAGCCGGTTCCGGTGTTCGAGGGACCTCCTCTCGTTTAATCGAATGAGGAGGAGCGTCTTTCGATGCAGATATCGCCTCAGCAAGTGAGTTGACAGCCTTGACAACGCCATCGATTTTCAAATTGAGTTTAATGACTTTGTGGTCGATTCGACCTATATCGTTTCGGGTGTCGTGGTTACCCGCTTGAATGGATCGAAATTTGAGATCGAGGTCTTTGAGGTTGTGAATGATTTGTTCCTCGGACAATTCCCCTGGTACGAGGTTACTCAGTGAAGTCAAGGTGGAATCGGATCTTTCTTGCGGCTGGTCAGTCGCCTTCCCTTTCGAGGTGGAACTCTTCTTACTCATGATGAGATTTGCGGTAGGCCGGCTTTTAACCTATAAGAAAATGGAAAGATACTATGAGTTCCGCGACTGGTTTTATTCGAGTGCAAAAGAAAGATAATATTGCATGATTACAAACCTATAAGAAAATGGAAAGATACTATGAGTTCCGCGACTGGTTTTATTCGAGTGCAAAAGAAAGATGAAGAAACTCGAATAGCCAGCCGCGGTTACAACTTATAAATGTTTTGATTATGTAACATGCAAGTTTGAAAAGTATGTGAATATGAAATGAAAAGTATGTAAATATGAAATGAGAATTAGACAAAAGTCAGAAAAGAATAAACTTGATGAGAAAGGAAAAAACCAAAATAGTTTGACATGTTGACGTCTCATAACCTTACACTTGGAACCCAGGGGTCTTGGAAATAACCGTCAAACTACTGCTCTCTGGTTGTGATTTTGTAAAGCTAGAAAAGATGACACCAGCATTTCCTTCCTTGCCAACAGCTCTATACCAACGAAAGCCGATTCTGATACTCTCATCGGCAGCATATTTGCGTGATATCATACTAAAAATTCCAATTCGATAGTTCTTGAATTGAGATGGGTTGTTTCTTATGTATTTCTTTATTTCCTTTGCAACAAGTCCATACTTCTCTTGATCTCGGTATTTGAAATGTGCAAGTGCCCTGTAGACATTGTATTTATCGTTTTTGACAAAATCCTTGGTTTGAACTCGATCCCCGTAATGTGTGACGAGCTGAGCCAGGTGGTCTTTTGCGATCGGAACCGTTTTCACTGTGACATCTGATTCACGCATTGGAGAAAACAAGACACCGCAGAAAAGGTGTGTTTAGCAATTCTTGTTTGAAAGGGGAGGGCAAAAACTAAAGTCTTGTGGAATCTTTCCCATAGACTCAGAAGTAATCTCCACAACTTACGTTGACCTCCATTGACTGGCTCGGTAGCCTTGAGTAATGCGGTCGGGTTTTCGAGCTTTGGCGGTAGACCGGGCGTTTCAATATGCGTTTTTGATAGCATATTTTGGTCTCCTCGAGCCTGGTTGACTTGCCCCCCGTCCATCAACTTTGTTGGCAAACCCGATCCGTTCTCGAGAGCTTCAAGCGACATGCCTTTGCCCACTGAGGAGAATCTGACGGTTCGACCTGCACCAAGTGCGGTTTGCATTGCTTCTGCTGGAGCTATCTCAAGCATGAGCATTGTAAACCACGACAAGAATATTATTCTGAAAGATACGGGGTAAGCGAAGTTGGTCCGACTCTGAAGATGATGTGAACCATCCTTGCAGACTTTTTGAGATAGCATTCTACTTTTCTCACTCATTTCTATGGTAAATGGTTTGGGTAGCTTTTTATTGTTGGGTGCTAGGAATGAGGGTAGAGATGTAAAGGACTGTCTGTGTTCAAAAATTCCAAAAAAAAGAAAACGAAGAAAAAAGAAGGTGAGTAGCTGGGTTGACTCTGAGAGCTTTCCGGATTGCTACTCCAGACCATATAAACATTGAGATGCGAAGTCAACTTGCTGCTGTCCTGCGTCTCCATCACGGACTCTGCCACCTGGATGGATCACTGTTTTGTCTACACCGGTCTCCAGGCATTGCCTGAGTACTTCAGTAAAGCGACCCTACAACACTGCTATCCTGGGAGTAATGTAACCAGTTTGGCCCGAGCCTAATCCAAGCCTCTCGAGCGTGAGCCTCTGGGGTCGCTTTGTGTCTCCCCGGCCGTCAAGACTGTGCAGTCTCGACGTTCTGGTTAGGATCTTGGTGGAACGTTGAATCCAAAATTCTCGCTTTTGCATTCAACTGGGGTCTATGAAAAATGGAGTAATACCTCTAATACATGTTCCCACTGTGACACAAGATGGCTATTGACAGGACATCTCTTTGATTTCACTCAAGTCATGATGAATGACTTCATCAATCCAAGTTTGGGTTGTGGCTTGTTGGTTAGCCTGAGTTTTTCTGCTTTCTCTGAACAGATTATTCTGTTTCACAAAGGGGGGGGGGGGAATGAAAATAATGGAGGACTTCCCGTCGGATCTGGGAGCCTCGAAGTTTTTGATTTAGACCCAAAAAGTCTAGATTTTCGCAGGGAAATCTAGCTTTTTCGGCTCTAAATGGAAACTGGGAGACCCGCAGATGTTGACGGGAAGTCATCCATTATTTTCGCAGGGAAATCTAGCTTTTTCAGCTCTAAATGGAAACTGGGAGACCCGCTGTGGTCATTATTCCTGTGTATGAAGGGAAGAAAATTAAAAATTTTATTATTTATCAATGAAGGACTCAAGATATGGAAAAATGGACGTCAGAAATGGAATCTACGGCCAATTTAACCCCTAGTCACTCACTGGAACCACCCTCATATCTCTACTGGATCAGAAGTTACACGGATCAAGGATGTCACACGGAGAATCACAGGATCAGAGGCACTCAGCTGGAGGGTATATTGCATGGGGGTATATTGCATATTGCATATTGAATTCCTTTTATCCATTTTGAATTCCTTTTATACTTACAGAACCACAAGTTGGCCACCAGTTGTACCAGTTAAATTCCCATTTATTCAGCCACAGAACACATGAATTCCTTTCTTACAGCTTACATATAAAAGGAATGCGTTGTAGATAGTCTAGCCAAAATCCCTCAGGATTTTCAAGGATAGGGCAGCTAAAATGCCTCATACAGGGGGTCCCTTGGGGCTAAAATCCCTCATAATTTACTATATAAGGAGGCCTCTGCCTGCCAGTTGTTTCTCTCCTCATCCCACTCAGTACACATTTTTGGTGGGACACCTGTCACAGATATTTATTACACAAGAGGTTCACAAGTAGTACAGTTCACAGTTGAAATATATACACAGTTTCACAAACATTACACAGAAGAACCAGTCCTTTGTTCCAGTCCTGGTTGAAGCATAGTGCTCCCAGTCCCTTTGGGTTCAAGAACCACCTCTATTACATATACAGCATTAAGGAAGAACACAAGTATCAAGACATCAAGACGAGAAACAACATCACCAACTCAATCAATTCTTTGGACAACAAGATCAACCTTCAACAATTATACAACCATCTTTGAACATAATCCATTATCACCAACCAAACTGCCAAGCTTACCTTGGTGGTCTTGTTTTCTGATAATATAGAAAGGCAGAGTTTGCAGCTCATTTCATCCCTTTCTCCATTCAGCAAAAAGGATCTTACAATCACTTTTTGAGTCTTACACCGCAGATGTTGACGGGAAGTCATCCAATAAATTATAAAAAGGTTAATGAAAATTACAGATTGGAGGACTTCCCGTGGGATCTGGGACCCTCGCAGTTTCCGATTTAGACCCAAAAAGTCTAGATTTTTGCAGGGAAATCTAGCTTTTTCGGCTCTAAATCGAAACTGGGAGACCCGCAGATGTCGACGGGAAGTCCTCCATTTCAGCCATTTCTGGTACAATCAAAAAAAAAATCTTCCTTGATGGCCTATCCTGGAGGACTATGGAAAAGAAGACATGATGTCATACTTAAGGCTGGATGTTGGGTTTTCCCAGAATCTCAAGTTCCAGTTTTTTCCCCAAGGCACCTTGGTGCTGAGATGCTTCAAAGTCATTCACCTGCCAAATGGAAGGATATATAGAACATTTAGGCGCAGAGAGTTCTTTTAAAAGAACCACGAGTGTAAGACACTACACGAGCTGACTGAGAAGAGAGACAAACGGCGAGCACACCTATGTGCGATGGTTTGTGAGTTGAAACAGAAAAAGAAAACTGAATGAGAAAAAGAGAAAAATAGAAAAGCGGTACAAGATTTACTATTTAAACTAAGACTCATTAGGTTTTGATTAGGTTTCAACTTAAACTATCACTAGACAAACGGTTGTGGAGTATGCTACTAAAGAGGGAAATGCTAATATCCCAATAGGATAGAGCCCTTGGGAACTTATGCTTGGGCACAAATTCAAAAACCTTTAAAGGGCTTTTTGGCCATGTGGACATAAGTAAAGCACCCTTCACTGCCAAGTTAAAATCATGATGAAGCTCCAAGGACCAAAGCCCTGGCGGCCTTTGGATCTACCAAACCAGCAGTTACCCAACATCTGTATTGTCATGAGCATAATTGAAAACCAACAAGTTCAGTGATGTGGGAAACTGCACGGGACCAAGCCCTCTAGTAAGAAAAGTCAAGTGAAGAACGTGATCCGATTCCCAAGCATGCTTTTCCAGATGAAGGATAGAGGTATTTGGGATACACCAATCAAGGCTCTTATTTTAAAATTTTTTCAAGTGGGAAATATGAATAACAATTCTCGGCATAGCTGCAATTGATAGTGTTTAAATGCTGACTGGCTGCATGTTAGTTTTTATTTAGAACTCTACACATGATTGACTTCAGCAGACACCTTATTCACGAAAACTGCAGATTTGGCTTCAATTCAAACAAGCAGTAAGCAAAAAAAATCGTGAAGTATCTTTCAGAAATTGTTTTCAAAAAGAAACATGACATCATCACACTACTCACAATGCCCAAACACCTCATAGTGTCCATTTTCAAAGATAAGTCCTTGCCTAGGATTTTCACGCTCATTCTTGATAGATGTATAGTGATAACCAGACAGTTTAACCACATTAGGATCATGAGGTTCGGGGATCTTAGTGAAGACAGAAAAACCCAATCGCTCTGATTGTGATTTTGAAAAGGCAGAAAATATGACATTGCGATTTTCTTGAGCCTTTAGGTTTGCATACACATGACCCCCAATGTCAATCACTTGATTAGCCACCTTCTTAGTTCTTGTACTATCCTCAGTCAAGATTTCATATTTTTTGAATTGAACTGGGTTTTCTTTGATATATGTTTTTATCTGATTTGCAACAATACCATGCTTCTCTTGGTCTTGGTATTGAAGGTGTGCAAGTGCTCTGTAAACATTGAATTCATCCTTTTTTATGAAATCTTGAGTTTGAAATATAGGACCTTTGTAGATAGTGACAAGCTGAATCTTCTGGTTTCCTGGTATTGGTACTGTTTTCATTGGGATCTTGCTTTTGGGGACTTGTTTGTTGCAGAGAGAAACAAGGTACCACAGAAGGTGATTATAAAATGATGTTAGAAGGAGGGGAACACACTTGAGCTGAGAGCATGAAGGATTTTTGCATAGAAGATGAGTTGAACTTAGAAACTTACATTGACCTTCCTTGACTGGCTTGGTAGGCTTGAAAAATGCCATCAAAATTCTCATCAATTTTTTCCAAAACCTCTGGATGCCACTGAGTTTCTTCAAGTTTTCAAGCTTTGATGGGTCTCCAGAGTTTTTGAGCTGCTCTTCAGCAAGGGGACTTGGGCCTCCTCGAGCCAGGCGTACTTCATTCTCAACCCTGGGCTTTTTTGACCAACTCGCTGTCCCGGATTCCAGAAAAGTTGCCGAAGATTCTTGGCCCGCTTTGGGGGTATGGTTGGCAAACTTGGCCGATCGACCTGCGGTAGCCGAAAATTCCATTGCTTCTACCAGAGCTACCTCGAGCATGAACAATGCCAAGCATGACAACGAGATAGTCTTGGGAGACAAGGGGTAGGGTGAGTTAGTCCGAGGATGATGTACTGGAACATGATTGTTATTGGCTTTTGGGGTTGTCCTGTTCATTTTGCCCACTCGTAAATATGTACGATTCTCTGGTAAACGGTTTGGGTAGCGTAGGTCTTGCGGTATTGGGATTCGGCATAAAAATGAATGTTCAAGAGAGATAATCATGAACAGTTGGATTACCCTCAGGGCTTCCTCACGGTTGATAGTTGATTTGAGTTGGTGTTATCCCTCTGGCACTTCACGGACTCCGCAAAACTTGCCGCCTGGATGAACCATTGCCCGGGTTTTCAGGCTCCGTATAACTTGAAGTTGGCTTCAGTCAAGCAACACTGCTTACTGAGGGAAACAGCTCCATCGAGGCCACTCTCAACTTGACACACGTATTTTGCTGGAGCACTTAACATATCAATATTGACTGGTGGCTATCACCGGCCTACATAGCCACACCATGCCCCATCACCCCTAACATTAAGAGATAAACCTTCATGGCTTGAGGCTGGTGTGAGTCATAAGCTAACTTAACACAATCCTTCATTGCTAAGCCCTGGATGTCGGACATGGCCTGACTGGCCTTGCCAGGTTAGCCTCCCAGGATATCTCCATCGCGGGCTGCTTCTTGCAGTGTTGGTTGACATTCTGAAAGTAGGGCGAGACATGGAAATTTGCGAGGTGTTCAAAAGACGAGCTTAACAAAGCCTCTCGATCGGAGGGTCCCGAAGGGCCCAGGGAGGGACTTGTGTTAAGTTCGTTCAAAAGAAGTTGGTACTGATCGGATTCCACCCCCGACGGGTGGTCCGATCGGGCGAGACTCGGGAGTGACCGATAAAGTGAAGGGCAGCTGGGACTTGTTCATGTCCATTGTCCAACCTCTTGACTGGACCAACAACCTTTCAGAGATATCTACATGGCAACCCTTAAAGCTCATTTGAAGTCAGCCCGGGACGCAATCTCGGCCAAAGACTGGGAAAAGGCTCAAGCTTCGGCCGAGGCGGCATTGGCGATCGACAATCAATCCTACAACGCGTGAGTAATCTCAAACATTTGCACCATCTCATACTCCGGAGAACGTCAAACTGACTGGTTCGATACCCTAGTTACGTTTTCCTAGGTTTAGCTCAGTTGAATTTGAAGAAGGTGTCCGAATCTGAGGCTGCCTACCGAGCAGCAATCAAGATCGATCAAGTCCAACCTCTCGCATGGCAAGCCTTGATTTCCTTGTATGAACAACAACACGATTTTGATCGGCTTATCGCTGATGCTCATAGTCTGATGCACATTTGGAATGAAAAGTGAGTGATTGATCTGAAATACAAGTTAGATTGTGAAAGAACTCCAAATCCGTGCTGATGATTTGATATCATAAACTTCGCTTTGGTTTCAATTTTTTCCAATCCTTTCTGAGGGGTGACGCTGAGAAGCTTGGAGAGTTGATTTTAAAGATGATGTCATTTCCTCAGAAATCACGTAAGCAGGTTAGCTGTCCTTTCACCGACGGTATTCTTGGTGGTTCTTCACGATGATTATCAGATCGCTATCCAGCTCTTCTTTGGACTACCACATTTACTGATCTAATTCTAGTTCGTAGTCTGTTGCTATACTCTCTCTGGTCTTGAGTGACTCGCCGTTTCATTCGTTGTTATCAACGCTTCCCGAACCGGATCATACCAATCCCGAGGCATCACCCCTTCTGAAGCTTCAAGATATTCTAGTCAACACATTACCGACCTTGAATGAAATAATCGAATTGGTTCAAACTGAACAGGACGAGGCTATCTCTCGTGAAATCACCAAAAGACGCACTCGATTAACCTCGGTCCCCAAGACTGCCGCGCAAACTAGAGCGGATGTGATCAACGAAGTTTATCCGACAAGCGTACTTCCTAAATATTGGCAGCAAGTATTGGATCATCCACTGGCTGATGATATAACAAGAAGAGACGTTGAAGCAAAGCTGTTGACCTTTTACATGGATTGGCTCGAATCCTTGCCATCTCCTTTTACCGACGAAACACCCAATGCCACTAAACGATCTAGCCAGACATCCGAATCTCAAGCATCTACCAAGTTGAAGAATCAGGAAGCTAAAGATTCCATTCGTCATAAAATCGAAGACTTAGCGCGGGGCCAAGCGATTCTAAGAATTCCTAATCGGAAAGCTTGGGATATTGTGCTTGATTGGGGTGAAGTTCTGCCTGATGACGGATCAACGGATTCTTGTGGATTTCTTAAAAACCTTCCTGAAGCTATGCCTGAGTTGGTAATTGTTTAATCTTTTTGGGCCGCTAAACCATTAAAACTGACAGTTTTGATCCTCAAACTTGAATTATAGCGCGCCGCTATCGACCCTTGTTCTGGCTTTCCAACAAATTCACAGCGAGACAGAAGCCGAGGAGGGAGATGTCGCCTTTGAAGATCCGCTCGAACAGATTGAGATTTCCTTTGAAGGCGCACAAGACCACTCGATCTTATCTCATGTCCTTACTGCATCAGTTTACTTCGATTTGAAAGAGTGGTCAACAGTCATCCGAGTAGCCCAAGGAGGTCTAACCAGATTGGCCAAGCTGGAAAAAACGATTGGAAAGCGATTATCAACTCTCAAGCGACGGTTGACGATTCACTTGGCTTGTGCTCTCACCTATGAAAACCCACCGGTTCATCATCCACGAGCCACTCGCTACTTGGATGCAATCCTATCTGATGAACCGAGTAACGGCCATGTCTTGATGGCCAAGGCGTGTGTTCTACGGCATAGCAAACACTGGCAGCTGGCTAACGAGTTATACTCGCGTTCCCTTGAAGCTTCACCTTACTTGACCTCGCAGGAACGGCTCGAGGTGCGATTACAACAGGCTTGGTGCCTATATGAGATCGGTAACGTAAATCTTGCCATTCAGAATCTGGAACAAATCGTTGAAGGTTGTGAAGAGCTAGTTGAACAAGATGCCGAAAATCAAGAATGTGTCCATACTCTTGCTCAAAGTTGGTATCAATTAGGAAGGTGTAAATGGACTCAGAGTCATCCGGATCATCATAATGAAGCAGGATCAGATCTAACTCACCTTGAAGAAATCAAACACAGCGCCTATACTTGTTTTATCAAATCTATCAAATACGACACCTCGATTGCTTCTTCCTTCTCCTACCTCGGATTGTATTACGATGAGCAAAATGACCATACCAGGTCCTCAAAATGCTTCCAAAGAGCTTTTGAGCTCGACGCTACACAGGAAATCGCCGCCTTCAAATTAGCTTCGGAGTTTGCGGACAACAGACAATGGGATCTAGTTGCAGTCGTAACGAAGCGGCTCCTGTTTGGCGGTGTTCCGCAAAAGACTCAGCTGAGCCCTGACGAGGACGAACCGACCAGCTTGACTAGTCTTGCGAGCTATCAACAGCACGTCTGGGCATGGAAGGCAGCTGGAGTAGTTCAGCTGAGCGAAGGCAAATTCACCGCTGCAATTAATACTTTCCAACGTGCGATCCGATGCTCTCCTAATGATCATCAAATCTTGTTGAAATTGGGGCTGGCTTACCAAGGCGCCGGGAAGCACGTCGCCGCCCTCAAATCGTTTATTGCCGCTCGTCAGCTAATCGACACACAAGCTGAAGGGGCTTCGCCACCTAATTCAGGAGGATCCTCCGCTTGGTATGTAAATTTCTGCATCGGTGATTCTCAGAGGCAACTCGGGCTCCTCGAACCTGCGATCAAGAACTTGGAGAAAATCGTCGAAAATCGACCCGAAGAGTTTGGTGTTAAGGTCATTCTGGCTGAGACCAAATATACAATGGGCTTGAAGAATTCTGAGAAGGGAGCTTTCGCTGAGGCTGAATATGAACTGACTAAATGCCTAGACATTGTTCGAGATGTACTTGAAAAAACTAAATCTAGATTGGTTACCAAAGCGTGTTGGAAGATTACAGGGAACGTATTTGCCGAGTTTGCCCGGTGGAATCGCACAATTCCTATGACCACTTTCCTTGTTGATGCAGGGGGAAGCGACTCGAATGAAAACCTAAGGGCCCATCTTTCGTATTTCGTTAATCTCGCAGCAAAGATGAACATCGATAATATCCTGACTAATGTCAAATCTGTTATTTGCCTGGAGACGAGCGCAATACTGTCGGAGAATGGCTCCCCCGGAGTATTTCTCTTGCTATCCGCTCTCGCTTTTAAAGTCCGCCTGGTCATCGAACTATCGGAAAGTCAGAAAGATAGTGCAGCAGAAGCTTGGTCGGACCTGGCGATTGCATTAGGAGGTCTCAGTAGATGGCTTGATCCGACTTCAAGCAAGCTCGCGTCAAGCGACCCTTCGGCCTTCTTTAAAACTCAAATGGGCCCACAAGCCACTTTATCTGAAGCAGTCCATTGCATCAAAGCTGGCCTACAGATGAACTCCTTCAGTTCCGGAGCTTGGAATACGCTTGGTGTCTTAACCTTCAGCTTGAACCCAAGGCTCTCTCAGCACGCATTTATCAGATCCGTCGAGCTTCTGCCGAAGAACCATATCGCTTGGACGAACCTTGGCTTTTTCTATGTGACCCATTCTGACTTGGAGCTAGCGAATGAAGCTTTTGAAAGAGCTCAATTAATCGAACCCGACTGGTCTTTATCTTGGATGGGTCAAGCTTTGATAGCTTCGCTGAATGGCCAACAACAAAAAGCCGGCGAACTGGTCGAACATGCTTACAGTTTGTCTCTTGGAAGCATAGTGAGTTAATCGACTTCTGATTTTTTTGTAACAAATTCTCCATTTGCCCACCTTTGATGATATTTCTACCTTTGTGCGGTAAATCACGCAGACCACAATCGAATCTTGTTACGCGACGGTGACTTTGAAGACGTTTACCAATGATGCGCAAAAGTCGTCACAGCACACCAGCACCCTAATTGCTCCGATCTTAGCTGCGGAAAAGTTATTGAAGAGATATCCCAAGGATCCAACGTTCTTGAATCTCCATGCTCTTATTTCGGAATGTTTAGGAAATTTCGACGAGGCTGCTGGAAGTTTGGAAAGATCAGCTGAGCTTTTGGAGGCAGTCTACGAAGTTACAGAGTCGATTGAAGTTGAACAACGGTTTATGTTAGCAAACTTAAACTTAGGTCGGATTCGGTTGCGACAAAAAGATTACGAAGAGGCCATTGCTGTTCTCGAAACTGTTCTTGGTTTAAGGCCTCCATTTGATAAGAATACCGAACCCATGGAAAGTGCTTTCAAATCAACAATCATCCGGGCCCAGGCGGCTTGCCAGATCGCAATGGCCAGATATTTCTTACAAGATTCTGAGAAATGTCTGACTCTCCTTGATGAAGCTCTTCGCGAACTAAATGATCTTCGGCAGGACGAATCATTAGGGCTTTCTAAAAAACTAGCACCCTACTCATCTGCTGTATCAGGACTTATTGCGAGGGTACTTTGGTCTCAATCAAATCAATCAAAAGCCAAAGAAGTGATATCAGACATGATTTTGAAAAATTCATCCGAAAAATTCATCGATTACGATTTGATCAGTTCCTTTCTGGCCATTACAATTCTCGAAGGAGGATCGGACGAAGCACTTCAGGCGGCTCTCAATATCAAAGATGAATATACTGACCAATCAGCGGAACAGAATCTGGGGAGTGGGGAAGAAGTTTCGATTGATCAAGCCCAGATTCACAAGAAGGAAGATATGGAAATCATCTCGCGACTTCAAGAATTGATTCTCCGAACTGCACCAAACAAAAAAATCACACGGGATCCCAAATCAGAAACCAACACGATACTCAACTTTTTGGAGTTCACAATCAAGCTATTAACCCAGCAACCAAGCCAAAATGAACATGCTTTCGTCAAATCTTTTGATGCCTGCAAGGAGGTCTTGAGCAGCTGTATCAGACAAGTCAGGGAAACTGAGATCGATAAACAGTTGATTAAACAACGAGCTATCATTTTTAAATCTTTTGATGAGGAACAACTGCCCGCTCCTGCAAGTCTTACCGACAGCAATAAGCATCATTCCGACCTTCCGGGCGGCCAGACTGGGGATTTCATTGATGATAAAGCAATCTCGTTGTCTGACCAATTGAATTTCCTCGTTTGAATTCTCTCTGACTCGGACTGTTTTCTTTGCTCTTTCAACATCAAACTGTTTCTCAATGGCTCATAATGTTAAGGATTCTGTACATCACATGACTGTTGTCTACTCGAAGCAAATGAAAATACCTATATTCTGGCGATAGATTCTTATGACTAATGAGAATGTTTTCATTGTGAATTTATACATACACCGCACAGTTGATGAGCTGTGAGTCATAAAGTGAGCTCGTGTTTTTCACGCAGTCATCTAAGTCTATCAAATCTTCTCTGAAGCCAATTTCCTATTTCAATTTTGTAACTTTTGGTGAAAACTGCTGCACTTTTGGAAAGACACTTCAGGAAATTATCTTATTTGCAATGGGAAGTCATCCATTTTTCATCTTGATTTTTTGATTATGAAAATTGAGAGAAACCCTTTTGAATCTCAAGCATCTGTCAGAATGATGTCAAAATCATATAAGGCAGGACACTTTGTTTCCTCAAGATGTTGTAGAAGAATATGGAATTATATAGTAAAACAAGAGACAGGAAAGTGGGGGAACAATGTGACCCTCCTGACAATCCTCACTTAGCAAGATGAAGATGGACCATGGCTCTAACTTCTTTCATCAGTTTTTCAACATCATTATCATGAGTGGAGAGTTAAAAATTTGTTGGAATATGCTTATAGCCTGACTAGTATGCTTCTAACCAAACCAAGATTGTATTTAGTCTACGCCAGATCTGTTTCATCAGAGCTCCCTCACTGAATCTAAAAACCATTTTTATCTTTGTGTTCAGTCATCTGTCACAAGACTCACGTCTGTGACTCTCAGCTCTCAGCCTGGTCCACCTCAACAAAATTCTCAAGGGACAAAAACAACTGGTAATGAAGAGAAATACTCCTTGGCAATGCATTTGTCTTACAAGTTCATAATATTGATGGCATGAAACCTTTTGAAACTGGATGATAAGACAGTTGAAGAATTCTTTGATTAGATGCAAACAAAGCACCTGTAAGAATCATGAGAGGCTTTGACATATGTGAGGTGAGAAGTTCTGGGCAGATAATGAGAGGAGAGATCAGTAACAAAAACCTTTTGGTTGCAAGTTGGCATTGACTTTAAGAAGATAAATAGAGATATGCAGATAAAATGTGAGTATTGTTTGGTGAAGTTAATGGCAAACTTCATTCCTCAAAAAGGCTCCTGATGTATTTTCTTTGATTTTCAGTTGTACTCAAGGCGTGATTCCAAGGGAACAAGCCAGTCGATTCGAGTTCTAGTTCTTGGGTTTGATCGTCCATGGGTCTGGACTCTTCAAGTCTCCTCGCAATCTTTTCGAATGCTTGGGATAGTTTTCCCTCATCTTCAAACACAAGCAACCATTTGGTGTAATTCCTTGATTGGTAAAAATGAGTGAGCATCTTCACTACAATACTAGCTTTTCTTGTCTCAAAGAAGATGTAGTCTAGGTTTAGGTTGGGATGTGAAGTCTGACTTTTAGTCTGGTCAGATAATGAGTGGGAAAGAAATTCCCTCATCTCAGAGTGGAGAATTTGGTGCGCTTTTTGTTCTGTTTGATGACCAGATGAGCCGGATTTGTGTGGAGGAGTCCCCAGAAGTCTGAAAAATTCTGCTTGGAGTTTGTTTTGTTCCTGCAGAATAATAGGATCGGTCTCTTTATAACCAAACATTTCAATCAATCTTGCATTACATCCCCAAACTACCTGAAACAGATTCTTCACATTTTCCAACATCCTTTCTGATGGTAGATTTCCATCAAAATTCTCCATTTTTTTGCATTCATCAAGTATTATACTTGGATCCAACGTTTTTGTGTTGGATGATATCTTGACCATAAGAGCCCACATTTTTTCTGGTTGATTTTTCATCAAGAAACTTGATTGGGGATTAATTTGAAGAGAATTTTGGAGTTCATCAGCTGGTGAAATAGCTTGAATATAATTGTGTGCAATCCTATGGAATTCAATTTCAAATACTTTATCTTCCAAGAAGTGAGTTTGATCTCCAAAAACAGAAGGTTGACTCCATGGAAGTACATTGAGTTTAGTGAGCTCATTCAGTTTCCCATTTGATTCCACATTTATAAGGCTACCTTTGAAGAAATCTGGAACCTGAATCTTGACCAAGTGAAAGATGAAATTCCGTTCATGTCCAAACAAGAAATTCCACTTTTTCATGTTTCTGGTCGCATAAAAGATGATCATAGAATTCAAGACGATTTTAACGATATCCACTGGGCCTTTATATAGCACTCCTAAGAAAGGCTTCCTATCATCTCTATCTCCCAACTGATAAAGATTCTTTCTCAATCCTGATGATGTATGTGACATACATTTAAACATGCTGTAAAACCTTTGCAAGAAGGTTTGGATTTTCTTACTGGTTTCATCTGCTGTTTGTTCTGAAGTTAGTTGTGAGTCAGGATATTCTCCAAGGACTTTGAGAAGCCAATCCTGAAGGAAAAAGTGCTCCTCCAAATAGTATTCTTCTGAATGTCCAAAACTTTGGAGGAATTCCAAGTTGATGAACCAGAGTAGGTTTGCAAATCCTTCAAACTGTTCAGATGTGTTTATCCTGGTGAGGTCTTCTTTCTTGATTGGAAATTTCTGGTTGATGATTTTCTCTAGCCTTTCAGTGAATTCTGAGATTCTTCCCTGATGGATCGATTTCAACTTTTGGAAAACTGGGTTAGCATTATAGATGGTAAACCCAAGAATCCATGCTGACATCTTCTCCTTATCAACTGGGTTGTTCAATTCATAATATTTCTCTTCAGAAATTCCACTTTTTCCTGCTGTCTGTTTCTTTTCTTTTACTACATGAGCAACGTTTGCTTGATCTTTTATATTTTTCAGCCAATGTGGAAGACTATTGGTTTCACCTAGATCAGTTGTAGCCATGTGAGTAGAACTCCCCTCATGTTGGAAAGTTGTGTGTCCAGCTTGGGATAAAGATGTATGAAGGATTTCCTGTGGCAATTTGGAAATTTTCTGAAGCTTTGTGCCTTTCTGTGAGATGCTCCTGTGAGCTTGATGAAATGCAAAACAAAACAAAATAAAGAATAAGATCTTTGATTTTGATGAATATACAAAGAGAATGGATTGATTTTCTATTGAGAATGATAACCTACTCATAAATTGATCATTATACCCTGGAACATTATATGAGGAATCCAATTAGTGAGCGGGATCACCAGCCAAAAGCCTGAATAAGATGAAACTTTTTGTTTTTTCTGAAAGTGGGTTATAAGGTTGTTTTCCTTTCAAAGGAATCCTCCCAAAATGCCACAGCAGAACGAGAATCCGATTGTTTCTTTTGGAAGGCTTGCAACATATCCAGTGACTTTGACTGTTCCTCGTTAATTACACAGTCAGGAAGTCCCCATCCGGTAAAGTCTCTGGTCACTGTGCTAGAAGAAGAGGGGGTTACGTTTTCTTGGAGATCCAAGTGAGCGTCGTGGCCTGAAGAATCACATTACTGATCAGTTAGATCTCTTCATGGCTACTGCCTCACATGCACAGTCAAAGACATCAAATTGGAAAAGTTTCGAAATCAAAGCTTACGAAAATGATCAGTGCTTCCCCACTGAGGCATGTGAGGGAGATGGTCCTGGCCTCCCAAATGCGAGTTTCCCTCTGGTTGATACGATGAATTGTCTCTCATGTTGATCAGATCTGTGAGTGAAGAAGAGGTTCGCGTTTCGTTGCGAGCGCAAAAGGGGAGACCATACCTGTCAAATTAGACATTGCAAAGTAACATTCAAAAGTAAGAAAACCACTGACCAATGAAGTTCCTAGTCCTTCCTCCAGTCTCTGCTGACATGCTCGGTCCAAAACCGGGCTGAAATGACCTATAGTCGACTTGGGTGTAAGCTGGCGAGTCGGACCATCTAGCAGGGTCTTCTCAGCCATCACAAGCCATTTATCGTTTTGTAGATCAATTTCATCGGGGACATGAGCACCATTGACCAATCAGCTGCAGGACAACTTCACTAGGGACCTGACTCACAAGTGTGATCCAAACTGGAAAATTGCATTCTGCCTGGATTCACTTGATAGCCACCTGGACGAGGACTTGCAGAACTGCTTACAAGAGTATGACCCCATTGGTCTAGATTTCTAATACTGGAGTGGCAAGGAACAATGGCGTCAATATAATATGCCTGTTTATAAGGGTGAATCAAAGAGAAAAAAAAAAGAGGTAACTCAACTTTTCCCCTTCTTTCTGTAATTCAGCCGGGTTATACTTAGATAACACGCCGAATCGGTGCGAGTCAAATTGGATGATCAGGAGGACAAATATGTAAAGTAGAGAGAGCGTTGGTTTACGCTCGAGATGTTTCATCTTGGGAGTCCAGTTCTCACAACAATCAGTTTTGCCAGTGGGGCATCTGATTATAGGATGTTTATTTTGACGGGGGAAAGTTGACCGCCTTTTATCTAGTCCAATGAGCTGGTATATTATCTTTGTCACTGCGGACATTTAAACACACGTTCCAGGGAGGCTAGAAAACTTAAGATAAGACAAGCATCAACCTACCAACTTGATTGAACTTCAGTAAAAAATTTATGGGCCATGACTGCGACTGATGTTGATACATAGTTAGTTACACAGGCCGTAGGCTACTGAAAGACCAACGCTTTAGCATCATAACCCAGGTTCCGCCGAAGAAAAAAAAAAGCATACCCAACAACCACAACTATCTTTCCTCCGCCGGTAAAAGTTAAAGCTCACCTACACGCATCAGCATATCACAGTTGACACAAATAATTCCCTGCGATTCCGAGGTATTTATGCATTTCAAACTTTGGGTGAGCCGATGAACAAGGAGGTACATTATAAGTTATCGAATTTCATTTCACATATTGTTATAAAGCTTCAATATGACATACAACATACACCATGAGAAATAGAAATATAACAAAACCCCTATCATCTTTGTCAGTTAGTTACTTAAATGTAGCAATCGATTAGGGGGTTCGACTTCAAGTGTCGCAGTTTAGCTGAGATTTCTGATCGGTCAGAGGGACGTATCTGACCCCATACAACTCTTGTTGGGTAATCCTTCCATCGGAATGTTTATCGATTTGATAAATCGCTTGATTCTCTTCACCGACCTTTATAAAATTCACCCAATGGTTATCAACACGGGTGAGGGGGGGTGGGATTGATGAGTTTACTGACAGGTATGAACATTCTTCCAGGTGCATTAAGTTGATTCAATAAAGCTTCTGGGACCTGTTTGATGGACCCAAACCAACCCTAGATGTGAGGTGTATCTTGTTTTTGTAAGGATGCTTGTAGACCTGAGCTCACCGTTGGGGCAGCAGCGCCGACATGAATGACGTCCCATGCACCTCCATGTCTTAGATCCGGGTTCCTTCCATCCTCGCTGGAGACGCTGATCTCAGAATTCTCTAGGCTCGGTCCTAAGCCGTCCTTCCTAAGATTCTCGATCGATTGTCGGGCTAGCTCAGGGATATGCTCGATCCCTGTGTGAACAGCTTCGATCAGCTTCTCTCAATATTAACAGGAGGAGGGATGTGATTCGAGCTTTTGAGCTGACCTAGAACGAAGCCAATAGTCGGCGGGGATGACTCGGGTGCTGGCCCTTTGACTAGATGGTGAAAACAGGCTACCATGTAGCCGCTACCACTGCCCACATCTGAATCGTAGGAAGTGCTGTGTAAGAGGTCAAACGAATCAAGCCAGGGTACATAATGAAAATCTTCCGAACCTAGTACTCTTGCGCCTGGTTTCAAGAATGGCAGTAGGTTCTCCAGGGCGTTTGCATGCTGATAATCAAAACCCTACATATATGAGCTCGCGATCCTCGACAAACAATATACCAGCGGAACCTCTGCCTGGGTGATCTGACTGACCATATGAGGAGCCGAGATGGTGGCACCGAATCCGATGGATCTAGTACAGATGTGAATGTGAGTGAGCTCCAGACGTCTTCTTCTTTGGAATTGATTGAAGTAGAAGTAGACTGACTGAGGCCGGTCCTCGTAGGCATACTTTTGAGAGCCAGGGATGATGAGATAATTGGCTCGATCGACCTTCTTCATCGCCTCGAGTATCCTACATGGATTAAGCTTTTCCTTGAGCGATGATTACAAATGTATGAGGATATGCCCAATTACCTGTGTGATTTCATTAATCCATTGGTGAACAGGTTTTGGATGAGCTGGGGGAAGATGGAACTAGTTCAGCATGGACTTATAATGTATTTTTTGATATGCAGATGTGAGTGTTGTGTTGATGTGCTGACTTGGTTGTTTGTTGTGCCATGAGACCTCCATGCCATTTTTTTAGTTGTCTGATTCTTCTCTTCCCTGATTATGTATGAGTTGTCAAGCTGATGGCTCCCCCCAATCCCATGCCGCTGGAGATGCTCTAAATTTGTGCACCCAGCCAGACAAAGCCAGCCCCCACCCACTCCGCCCCTCAGCACTCTGGACTGCTGAAAACCAAAGAAGAAGACATGAACACCATCCAACAACAACCCAACGGACTACGACAACCAGCATTCCAACTCACCACAAGACCATCCGCTGCTTCATCACCCGTCGAGATCCACTTCGATCAACTCGATCGATTCCAATGGGACCATCGTAAGCAATCTAATCTCACCAGTCATCATCATCATCATCCAATATTGACTTGATTGTTTCCCACAGAATTCCAACAGACTCTCATCTCACTGGCTCAAACTGGCTTACCACCACCTCAATCAACACTCAACTACTCAACACTCATCCAGGCCATGCTCTACTGTCTCAAGAGGAACGTCGAGAACTATCTCAAGCTGGGTGAGGCCTCACTGTTTGATACCCGAGAAGAACCGGCTGGTGGATGGCTCTGGACATCAGACGACCTCCAAAAGAATCTCGATCGCATCTCACGAGCACTCAAAGATTTCGAAGATCAACAACCAGCAGTGGGAAACCAAGCCTCCAGATCCGAACCAGCAGAGTGCTCAAGCTCGATTCGCACCATCCAATCTGCACCATTCACCATCCAACGACTCGTCGAACTCATCCTGCCTCCTATCTCATCCCCCTCCTCCTCCTCCAACCCCAACTCCAACTTGGCTGGCGGAATCCATCCACATTACACCACCCTGCCCAAATATCTTCGCGCCATCCAACGCGTACTCTCAGTCAGCTCAACCATCAAAGCATTCTCAGTCAACACCTTCATCAGCCCATCCGACTCCACTCACCCATTCAGTCACACTCATCCATCGATCCTTAATGGCGATAGCCAATCCAACAACCATCCCAATATCATCCACACACCTGCAACCCGACGCCATTCCACGTCCACTCCGATCACCCCCATCCTCTCTCCCGTGCCCTGGCTCCTCAATGACCGTCAATCCTTATCCCCAGAACTGGCCTCCTCGTCTGACGGCCATCGATCTAGACACACCTCCCCCCTCTTACTCTCCTCTGAAACCGACGAACGACCGATCACACCTCCCTTGACCAGTCACTCATCATCATCATCATCATCATCTCCTACCATTCAACTTCATAATAATATCGCTCCACCAACTCATCATAATACTGCTCACACACCCACCAATCCGTCTCCGACCACTCTCTTACTTCCTACCGCATCCCAACAGATCATCGCCAGCTCTTCATCTGCACAAATCTCTCCTCCTGTCGATCAGTCTGCTCAACCAGTGGCTCCGAACCCTGAGAGCTCGAAGAAAAACTCGGGAGAAGTGGAGCAAGGGACCACTCAAGCTCATGATCCAGATCCACAGACTACTAGTAATCCATCCGAAGACGTGGCCATGCAAGATGGTTGATTCCTATTCTATCGATCTCCATGGCTTATCACACACTCTTTTCCCTTGTGTGTTTTACAAGTCTCCAAATCATAAAAATGTCAATCTTAATTATCCTGGTTAAGCCGATTGATCTGAGCTCAGATCTCCCTCATTCTTCTGGATTGAAACACAAAAAAAAAACCTTAGCTAAACGGCACTGCTCACATCATGCTCAATAAAAAAAGGGATATCAAAATACATATGGCCTGATGTTTATGTAAATAAGCTCATTCTTTGTAGCTGGAAATCCATTTAACAGTAGTGTACGCAAGATATCTTGCTCGTCCACAGTTTATTTATCTTTTTTTTTCCAAGATCAAAAAAAAAAAAAAAGTTGATGGTTCAAGAGAGAAAACCTTCAATATTTTCAACTTGATAGTGGTCTTACTCCATTTCACACCCATTCCAAAAAAGACACACTCCCGCTTGCTCATCCAGAGTGGGCATGATACTCTTCCTGGGACAGACAACTGTCCAAGTCTTATCATTTCTCCCCTCTCCTCTTTAGGATATCCCTCCCACCCAACATTCCAAGCACTTGATATGTAGAAATAGATATCAACGAGTCATCTAATCGATGAATTCCTTACTAGGGTTTTTGATATTGTTGCAAGTTTTGGCTGAGATTTGAGGCGAAAAAACAATGAGGATGATGATGATCCAACATGAGATGGACCAATTAATCGATGTCTTCAATAGACCATGGCTGACATCGTCGACCACGCATCAGAGCAAGTTCTAAAAAAAAAAAAAAATAGAAATAACAAAGTGGTATGAGTTCCTTCGACAGTATTTTTCCGTGCACAGTGGGATATATAGTCATTCCTCGTACCTTCACCGGTGCGCATTCCGATCCCTTTTTCCAATCGTTTGCCCTTCCCACCAAACCCATCACCCATCCCTAGAAAAAAAACAAACCAATCGAAGAGTTATTGGGGTAGGACGAGAAGAAGGAGGGAGAAGTGAAGAGTGACTCACCAACGGGCGATCCTCCAGATTGGAGCATCATCAGCGCCATCTTGATCACGTTCATCGGGTTGTTACTTCGGGTCACTTTGGCACTGAGGTCTGAGATTCCGGCCGCTTTGGCAACCTGGTGAATGAACGGACTGCATCTCAGTCCGAACCCTTAGATTAGGGGAAAGAATGAGTGAGTCAAGAGGCTCAGTCTCTTCCTAGAAACGGTGGGAAGATGTGTGTTGAAGTGAGTGAGACAGACCAGGTGGGCGGGGCCTCATGACGATCTCCGTGGCATGGAACTTTGCCTTGAGTTCTGAATGGATTGTGCGGCCTTCGAAGACATTGACGGGCGCCAAGTTCTTGATGGCATGTTTGGTAGCCGAGGCGGCGGCGTCTCCCATCCGCTCGCTCTTGCCCTCGCCGCAGCCGACCAAGCCATTCCCGTTGCCGACGACGACCATGGTGTACATGCTAGGGATCTTGCCCTTGCCGGTTTGGTTGACGACGCGCTTGGTGACCAGGGTGAACTTCATCAGTCTTCGCAGATCCCGTTCGTCGAGTGAGTAGGGCAATAAACTCTCGATCGTCGCCGAGTTCCCTCGCTCTCCAAGTGATTGGCGCACGATCTCATCGGGGATCGGGATGAATGGTGGTTGGGAGCCAAAGAAGATCTCGTGATAGGGCCCTGTTTCCGATGGATGTGGGTCGAGTAAGGGGGAGAAGAGTGAGATATCTACTTCGTATTTCCGTTCTGCTCGTGCTGGTGCTGGTGTTGTTGTTTTTGTCTTCTCTGGATTCTTGGATACCGATGTTGAACTGTGCCGGGCTGCTGGTTTCGTGCTCAGGAGTGCTGCAGTTCTCGGCCTGGTGAGCAGTTGCAGATATCGACTAGTAGATTGAACAGACATCCTCGATTGCCCCTTCGTTCTTCTCCTGCCTCTTTGTCTCGAAAACTTTGGATCAAAACTGATTCACTCGATCGGCGGTCGGCTCGGCGGCTGTCGGTTGCCGATAAATTTTCAGTGCGGTCAACCTTCTTCCGGCGAGCATGTCAAGTGAGACTTGTGATGGTCATGATTGGTGACAGGCGAGTGACAGGCTGCTTCGACCCAATCATGTATGTATGGCACATGATCAAGGCACTAAGGGAAGGTGCCGGGGTCCATGTGCGCGGATAAGATTGGTTTTGGACAGGCACAAAATAGCCCTGGTCAAGTCCAAAAACAAACCAGGCTATTTTGGGTTTTGAAGCAAAGTTTTTCCCCACACCTCTTAAAGTTCCCAATTTGAAGATTCGACACAACTTTCCTTCATCCGCAAACCAAATCTTATCTCTCATTCTCAACTCTCTACAAACTCTACTTAATTTATCAGCTTTATAAATTTTCTCTCACTTTCATTAACACCAGTCCTCTCACTTAAAAACACACACCAACGCATCAACATGGTCAACGCCAACAACACCAGAGCAACTTCAAAGAAGATCAAAGACTCAGCATCCTCAAAGAACAAGAGCGATGACATATCAGTAGCAAACGCGTTGATCCCCGCAACACCTGGGTTGAATCCTGCCGGTTCGGTAGCGAGCACCACCCAAGCTCATAGTGGCAGCCCGTTAAGCGTTTCCCAAGCCCCTACTGGCAGTCCTTTGATTGGCACCCAAGCCCTTAGTGGCAGTCCGTTGAATCCCTCGAACAACGGTAACGCAATGCTCAAAAACACCATCCCAAACGGTAAGTTTCTCAAAATCCATTCCAAGGATCTTTCTTTCGATTAGAATTACCCAGAGCATTGAAATTCGCAATAACAAATTAAAATAATGTGAAAAAAACCTTTTTTTCGCTATTATGAATTAGACTCTAGAGTCAACAACACCGCATACTCTTTGATAGTTGATACGAGCAAGTCACACAGAGACCGAGCCCCAGTGGAATCACTCTTCCATTTACCCAAAGCAAAGCCTGCAGAAGCGGCCGCAAACGCTGAAGAAGAAGAAACCGAGGAAGACAACTCCCCCGGTTAGAGCAGAGCACATGTCCTTTCATCTCATGTAGCAGAACTCTTTTTGCAAATGGTTGATGTAATTTCTTATACCAATACCAGACATCGCCGTATCCTCCGTTATGACGGAGAGACAAAACATGTGGCAACGAGCGATAGCAGCGCAAGATGCGGGTGATACGTCCCTGGCCGAGATGCTTTTCAACGCGATAGGCCGGATTGGTGCAAGCCAACCCTTGATCCCTGCCCAGAAAGCAAAGGCAAACGTGTTTGCGGTACCAACCCGTACACCATCTGGCGCAGTGATATATCAAGAGTCAGCCCCTGTGTTACCACCAGGCGAAACGACGAACGGCCAGACGCCAGAAAAATTTTTCTTGACGGAGGGCGACCTTGTCTACGCAATCGGATCAGTGACAAACCACAACAGTGTGGGTTTCACACCGTTCCTAGACGAGAACATTCCCAAGCTCAGATCGCCGTTACCACTCACGATCTTCAATCGTAAGTGGCAACAAAGAGCCATGTCTTATCACCTGGACCAACGTCATAGATCGGACGATTTGTCTAGCGATAAGGAGAAATCAGGAGGATACAAGGGCTTCGCCTTCGTCCAAGAATGGACTCAAACTTACGCTCAGTGGACTCGGAATCACCGGGCTTTTTGCAAGACACTCCACGATGTCTACAAAATAAAGAAATTTTCAAAGTTACTCGCAACTCACAAGAACAATTGCGACGACATAACAGAAGAATTTGGCTTCATGGTCGCTTTCCGCTATGATATGGAAGTGAGGAATAACACTTTCTCTCACACAATCACTGACGAAGACGTAAAGAACGCTATCCCTGATATTTCTCAACGAAAAGAATCGGTGGTCAAACAATGCTACAACGTTAGCAGGAATTTTGGCGAGCTCGAGTGGGAGGAGAATCTGTACGCTCCCGGTTTGTCACACTGTAACCACGACCCCTTGACCGGTTATGTGAAAACCTCAAAGATGAACAACAATCAATATAGCAGCTATCAGAATAACACCATGGTACACAACCCAATCTCTCAAGGGCAATGGATGAATCATTCACACAACAACTTCAACAATAACGGCAATACACACAACGGCTACGGCAACGTTGGTAACTACAACGGTAGTAGAAGCGGTAACTCCTACCAAAATAACGGAGGGAACGGTAACCCGAACGTCGGTAATAATAAGAGGACCAGAGGAGGTTACCGAGGCGGAAATTACTCAGACAATTTCCAAGGAAGAAACGACGGGAGCCAACAAGGGAAAAAGGGAAACACAAACAAGTAGTTAAAAGTCTTTGCCTGTACCAGCAACTTGCTGCATCCCCCTAGCGTACGAGCCCATGAGGCATTTGCCTTTTTTCTCCTATTCTTGTACACAATCTCCGTTTATCTTTAGAAACGTGATGATCTTGTTTTTGTCCTAACCATTAGGCCCTTCTTCCTCACCTCACTGAGTTCTGCGGAACCAATGTCCCCATATCTATGATAACTGCATGTATTGATTCATCTGTGTTTTTCTGTCTTTCTTTATCTTAATGCATCGCTGTTTACGGCTGTTTATCTAAAAAAAAAAAAAAAAAAAAAAAGAGAGGACGTGTCACTTTTGAATTGGCCTTCAGGAGTGAAATGTGAGATGAATATCTCCTTGTGGAGAGATGCTTTAGAAAGGGCAGGTTTGCTAGGAAAATACCGCGACGTGTTACACGGTTTTGAACATGGTTTTGATCAAGGGATACCAGACCATAGAATCCCTGGTGTGACATGGTACACACCAAACAACCATCTGTCAGCAAGCCTGGCAGTAAACAAAGTATTGTCGTCAATGGAGAAAGAATTAGAAGCTGGACAAATGTTTGGCCCCTTCTCCCACGAAGAAGTAGCACAAAAATTCAGTTTTTTTCCGGACAAGCCCTTTAGGAGCAGTCGTGAACGGGGACGGATCCGTCAGACCCATCAACGATTTATCATACCCACACAGCGATCTGGGGGTACCGTCCGTTAATTCATTCGTGGACAAATACGATTTCCAAACAACTTGGGACGATTTCGGTACGGTGTGAGAACTCCTTTGGGAATGGTGGCAGTCCTGTGAGGGGGAAATAGCAGATGAGATATATCACGTATGTAATGATCTACTACAACTGTTACGGCTGGTTTGAAATACCTGCCCCTCTATTGTACTACACTAGAGTTAACACAACAATTTATTTATTGTTGTGGCAAAACCTGATGATAGAGAAAACTATGTGTAGCAGCAACGGTGAAACGATGCGATGCGATGCGATAAATAGCCATGTATCGGTATCGCATCGAAAAAGTGATGCATTGCATCAAAAAAGCGATGCATTGCATCGAAAAAGCGATGCATTGCATCAGTATCGTATCGGAAAGCGATGCAAACCGATGCCACCAAATTATGGTGCATCGCATCGCATCGCTTTGCCGATGCAATACTGATACACTGTATCGAAGAATCTGATGCAAGCGATGCAATGCGGGGCCCCGCATCGCTCTTGTGATGCGATGCGATAAAGGCCCGATACAATGCGATACCTATGCCTGCATTGCATCAGTTTCATCATTGGTAGCAGTCTCTTATCAAACCTAGATCAACGTGGTTTCAGCAGACTATTTGAGTGGAAATGTTGAGTAAGAGGTGTTTTTATTTATATGTTTATGTATTCTGAAAAATGATTGACGTATGTACTGATGATGAATGTGTATTTATGAGATGATATTGGGGAAAAATGTGACTATTGAAAGTGTCTTTCCCTTCCTCCTTGAATCTTGGTCAAGAGCACAATGGTTTAATATCACTGTCTCTTGTTTAAGATCACAAGTTGTACTGGTTGCTACTTTCTTTTTTCCTATGCTTCTCAATGTCTGAATGATCTCAATGGGGCACTTGATTAAGATCACACTGGTTAATGTATGGATTGATTGCTCTGTTCTGTCTGGTTGCTGATCAGATGAGATGATGATCTGTTGTGAGATGATATGAGATGATAAAAAATTGGAATGAGGGGGGAACACCCCTCCTTAAATAGTCTATTTTACAACCCGGCTGACTTGTGGTTCTAGCCCTAACCAATAATCTATAAATGGCCAACTTGTGGTTCTAGCCCTAACCTATAATGAATATGCATCTAATCATCTGGACAAATTGTGGTTTTACTACTATACAAGATTCTCAGTGTACCTACAAACAATGTGGCCAACTTGTGGTTACACTATGCAATAATCATTTTTTATGCAAATAAAATTTAAATCCCAAATAACTTTTGACTGAGTGGAGCTAGCCTAGTGGTTCCAGTGAGTGACTATGGGTTAAATGACCCATAGAATGTGATTATGCCATAATATGCCTAAGAATATATGCCCTTCTACATATTGGACCGTGACTTTATGCAATTTGATACTTGAAACACAAATGGCACACTACAACGGTAGCCAAGTTTTTCAAATCCTTGAAACAACCGGTACAGTTGGCGCTTTTTGACTGGGAGAAGGCCTATAGGCAAATCCCTACTCATCCATCTCAATGGCCTTACTTAATGGTAAGAGGTGTAGACGACAATTTATACCTCGATACAAGAATAACCTTTGGAGGCGTCGCCGGTTGCGGTTCTTTTGGAAGACCGGCAGACGCGTGGAAGGATATAATGGCGTCAGAATTCGACCTCATCAAAGTGTTTCGCTGGGTCGACAATAATTTATTCATCAAGAGTCTTTCCTCAACAACAGACATGACAGATATCATTTCCAGGTCTATAGAGTTAGGTGTGCTAACCAGCAAACAAAAATGCACAAATTTCTCAGATGAGCAGAAATTTATCGGATTTCTCTGGAATGGAATATCAAAAACAGTCCAATTACCACTAGAGAAGCTGGAAAAAAGGAAATAACAGATAGATATATTTTTGATCAGAACAAGCAAATTCTCTTTTAATGAAGTAGAAGTCTTGACAGGAAGACTAAACCATGTAACTTACATGTTACCTGAGAAGTTTATACCGGTGGCTAATGGACTGGTTTGATCTAGAAGCCAAACAATACACACCTCTCGACGTCGTGGAAGATTTAACAGTATGGAAAGAAACTTTACAAAGTTTTAAGCACACCAGGTTGATACCTTGCCAGGAGGCCACAGACATAGGGTGGGTAGGCGACACATCGACTAGTTTTGGGATAGGGGTGATAATACGTAAACACTGGAGTCAACTCATGATTCTTAGACAACGTGTCGGAAACGCACCGAAACGTAATATCACATGGTTGGAAACTGTAGCGGTAAGGGTTGGCTTGATTATGCTTCATGTGATGGGCCGGATTCGTAAAGGGTCCAACTTATTGGTTTGGACAGATAATACAACTACTGAATCCATTATAGAAAAAAGAAAATCGGGAGACAAACATGTCAACAATGAGTGGAAGGTGATACAGAAATTTTTAATTAATGAAGAAGTGGACCTGACAGCGAAAAGGGTCAAATCAGCCAACAATATCGCCGATAATCTGTCACGAGGGTCGTCGGGCAACCTGAAACGGGAAAACAGGGTCCTATTCAAGATCCCTGCCGAATGGAAATTGTATCTCTGTCATGCTTAGTAATTCGTACTTCTTGTTAGTGTATATATATTCTTTTGTTATTCTGGCGTACAAAATTACCCTCCAGATATTCCGACTATTTTTCTGTCTAAGATTTTACCTAAAATTAGTTCTTGGTTCAAAATGGTAAATTCATCAGAGGACATAGTAATAATAGACAACAAACGATTAACGGTTGGACATTTAAATAAGATAAAAGCTTTCGCAGCAAATGGAACGACTCACTACCCTATTTCTATGCTAAACGCTCATTTATTGAGCGGTTGGAAATGGAATACTATTCTAGGTTATAATGCTGCAGTTAAAAAGTTCATATTCTTTAAAAACTTATCCGGAAATCACAAATTCAAGTTACCGGCATCGAAGAAAGACATTGAGGATTTTTGTTTTTGGGCAGGTAGAAACTTATATATAAATAACTCCTATAAAATATCGGCCCCATCGATTAAGAAGTACTTATGTGGACTGAAAGCGTGGCACACTTTCCACAGCGAAGAATACCCAGAGATAAGCAACAAAAGAATTGAGTTACTCATAAAGGCATCATCAAGAGTAGATGCTACTTTACCAAAGAAACCGAAGAAGCCGCCTATCTTACTCAAACACCTAATCTGGCTTGCGAATGCGTTATTCCCCGGTGGAGATATAGATAAAACGATTATGGACCTAGAGATCGTTTCATTTTGGGGTATGGCACATATTGGCGAATTTACTTACGACAATACTTTTGGAGATTTGAATACGGAGAATGTGGTTCTAACCTCAGACGTGAGATTGGTCAAATCGGCGATAGGCAAAAACGCAATTATAACGGTCAGAAATGCGAAGACAGCGCATCCTGGTGCACCTCAAGTAATAGTGGTTCATAGTTTAAAAAACATGCTTTGCCCTGTGCTAGCGTTGAAACGAAGACTAGACGAGGCAAAAGGCAAGAACACGTTGCTGTTCGGTTTTTACAGAGAAGGAACTAGGCGGCATTTAACACGGTCCATAGCAGTGAACCGGATCCAATTGGTTCTACGAGCAGGTGGTTTCGAAGGCCTCCTAGGACACTCGTTTAGGTTTGGTGGCGCCTCATTACGACACGTGTTGGGCACTCCGATAGAAGAAATTTGTCTTTTAGGCAGGTGGATCTCAAACTGCTACCGCTTATACATTCGAGAATACACAGCGGAAGATACGGAAGACAGCAAAAGAATTATCGCAGAATTGAATGAATTGTGGGAAGAGGATTGATTTTTGTGTGAAATATCTGAATAAAATCGGAGAAATAGGTTTTTGTCACTAGGCTCAGGCTCCTATTTTAGTCTAGAAATTTTACACCTGAGTAGATGGTTTCTTGTTCTTTCATTTCCTATTTTGAAGATTGAAAGAAAGAAAATAAAAATAGTTTTTCTTAGTAAAACACATTAATCATGGGCCTTAATAAAAAAACGCGGTTTTTCCGCGTTTTGACGCGGTTTTGATGCGCCGCAGCGCACGCGGTTTCCGCTTTTAGACGCGGTTTCGTGATTAATTTTTTATGGGTTATTTTTTGACTTTTTTTGAATTTTTAAAGTTGTTTCCTAGGTTTCAAAGCGCGTAGAATTTAATGGTAAAAACCATTTTCCATAAAAATGAATTTTGATTATTGATTTTTTTTTCCACTTATTTTTCAATTAATTGTTTGCATGCATGTATGTACGTTATTTTTTATGCTTTTTTAAAATTTTAAAATTATTTCCTAGGTTTCCATGTGTGTAGAATTTAATGGTGCAATCCAATTTTTTTAAAACTCGACGGTGTGGTGTGCTGTGCCTGTTCCAATGCCAAAAGCATACAGAAGAGGTGATAGTGACACACAATTATCATTCATTACAAGAGGAGGAACATTCATTACATAGGACATACAACAACAGGATAAGGTATACATATGTACATGTGTTGTGTGCGTGGGTAGGTTATGTAATATGGGTTTATTTATTGTGTAATCAGTGGAAAAGAACATAAGACAGTTGATGAGGAGGGGAGAAGGAAGGTAGGCGGAGAGGTTTTGACCCTGAAGAATGAACAAGGAAGGAAGTAAGCAAGTGTTTCATCTGATGTTTGATCTGTTGCTTCATCTGTTGAGATGAAACACAGAACATTTGGAATGTGGATTTGGTTTCCAAGTCACAAATCTCATAAGACTGTATACTGTACTGGATTACTGCTTTGGAAGGTTTCAGCACATGCTACATGGCTTGGTTTCATAGCAACCAATGACATCATGCTGTGCAAAAAGTGTGTCACCTGCAGCAAAAATAACTCACAAGGAGTCCCCTGCAGCAGAAATCCCTCACTCTTCAATATAAAAGGAGGGCCTCTCTCCACCAGGATTCTCTTTTCCCCCCATCAACCTACAGGAGTAAGTTG